AATTTTCAGTAACTCTTGAAGCTGATGATGAAGAACAAGAAGACAATGTGGATGACACAGATGGAACAGTAATGTCTTGTGATGAAGGAGGATCATCAGGTATAACTATGACTTCTACAACATCAGATGACTCCTCCATTGTCTGACCACACCTATTACTCTCCATCAGTAGAGTAAGTGTTCTACTTTCCCATCAGGCATATAAATTGAAAGCTACTGGATCCCTGGAAAGTAAATAAGAAAACATGAGGATACAGTTTTGATTGCAATTAATTCAAGCTTAATTTTTTACTTATTTAGGAAATATAGGTTACCTGTCATAAGCCTTGTGGCCAAGGCCTATGGTTTAACATAACATCTAACCTGGTTTTATTACAGGAACTTATAACCCCCCATTCCCAAGCCCCTCCCACAGCATAATCTATAATTCGTCAAGTGTTCCCCATGAATGATAGTTTTAGATATTCATTTATACTCTTGGGCAGAGCTTGACACTGTGGGAGGTAAGTGTCTCCTCATCCTCAACATACTGACTAGAATCCAGCGGTCAAATTGCCAGGTGGCAGAAATCCACATATATAATAATAATGATGATAATAATAACAACAACAAAATAATAGTGGGATTTAGTGGTGGACATTTCTTGAAATGAATCTTCTTGTCCACTGCTTCCAGTTCAAATTACACTAGGAGATTGTTCTTTTACCTTTTCTGCACCAAAACTGTGGAATGCGTTACCATTTGACATAAGAAGTGCCAGCACAGTTAGTATCTTTAAAGCCAAGCTAAAAACTTACTTTTTCCATCATACATTCTTGTCATAGTTGTTTTTATTATTGTGAGTTTACATTTAGTTGTAATCTCAGTTTTTTAAATTATTGTAAGTTTACTCTTAATTGTAATTTTAGTTTTTAAGCCTTTTCATTTTGTTTTTTAATCTTGTCATGCGCATTTGAACATTTTATGGAATTTGCGCATTATAAATGTCCCATTATTATTATTATTATTATTATTATTATTATTATTAGAATTCAAAAGGTTGGCTTTTGTGGATGGATCACGGAAAACCAGTATAATTACAACTTCATGTTGTTTGTTGGAAAATGTATTGTTTATTCCAAAACTTTTTCTAAAAAAATATACCATGTCAGCCTTTTTCTCAGTTTTTAAAACCTAAATAAATTTACTTAATAAATGCAAAAAGTGTCCTTAATATGCATAACTGTGAAGTAATACAGGTGCATGTACCATGCCAGCAAGTTATTTATGACTCATAAATATAGGCCAAAAGAACACAAGAACAGCTTTGCAAGTGGTATTTTTCTTCAAGTCCAAACATTGAAAGTATAGCACAAGTTTAACCTGTTTAAGAGCATGTTTGCATAAATTAACCATGGTCTTGGAAGGATAATAAATGGTTGCCATAGTCATATAATTTTAAAATTCTCTAATTTTTCCCTGGATTTTTCTTTAAAATAGTAAAATTTCCATGACCAAGTGAATTAGCAATTTTATTTATAAGTGCTGAACTTCCCACATCCCCTCCCAGCCATCCTCTCCACCCTTAAATTTATGCTTTCAGCATGTCACATACAATGTATATATGAACTGATAGTTCCTAAAGGTAACATGGAAAAGAATCGATTTTCTTGGAAACAAAACATTAGCTTATTATGCAAATTTATTCACCAATATTATACACTTACCAATCTAGTACCTTTCATGTCCATGAAAGGTACCAGCTTTGGGGTAGCAGTGAAGTGTCAGTGAGGCTTCCGTGACATATCAGTGGAGATTCTGAATTAAGGCTGATGTTGTTCTGCACTGATTTAGGAACCGATTTTAATTTCTGTTATAAACAAAGCTACTTCATAAAATTTTGAATCGAACAAGGCAACTCAAGCCGTTTCGGCACAAGTAAAGGCAGGGAAATGTATTTGACGAAATCGAAACATAGCTAGCGTTTGCCCCTTTGCGGAAGTGATTTGTTTGCTTAAGTGATGAGCCTCTCAATGGGTACCCACGGTCTTCGTTTTCTTCGCGATTTTTTGCAAATCCTCGGTTTTTTTTAGGAAGATCTTCGTTTCTCGGATTGAAATGGTTTAAACGTTTATTCAGTGTTAATCACAGTTTATAAATATTTCACTTCAATAGCAGATTGCAAAACTCACTGTTTAAATTCACGAAAAGCAATATAAACAGTCATTGAAACAATAGAGGATTGTTGGATTCTTTGGCGACGTTCTGTTTGTTCAGTGTTCTATGCCATTTACGACATTTGAAGACTGGGTTTTCTTTATGCGATCCTACAGGCTCGTAACTTTAACATACACAAATAACCTGTTGACTAGAAATGAAGGTTATTCTACCCTTCCACCTTTTTAGTCAGTCAGTAGTAAACCATGTCCTCATTTCTCCTTTTCTAATGCCTATTGTTATCAAAATCGCAGTGAAATGTGGTCAAATGCCAAAATTCAGAAATAACAGATATTTTCTGTAGTGTTTACGAGTTTTGACAGTTTTATATCTGAGAGTTCAATTTGATTACGCAAATTTTAGTCAATTTTCAGATCTTCGCTTCAATCTTGAGATCTTCGATTTTTCCGCGGTGATCTTCGCGTCTTCGATTTCTTCGGAAATACCCATAGAGAGGCTCAGTGATCTCGCGCATTACCGTGGATAAAATTTAGCATTAACTTTCTGAAAGAGAAAATCTTTATAACTAAGCCTTGTGTATGTGTCTACATACCTTGAAACTTCGCAAAACCAGTCGTGCACAACTCTTCGCGATTTTTTGCAAATCCTCGGTTTTTTTTAGGAAGATCTTCGTTTCTCGGATTGAAATGGTTTAAACGTTTATTCAGTGTTAATCACAGTTTATAAATATTTCACTTCAATAGCAGATTGCAAAACTCACTGTTTAAATTCACGAAAAGCAATATAAACAGTCATTGAAACAATAGAGGATTGTTGGATTCTTTGGCGACGTTCTGTTTGTTCAGTGTTCTATGCCATTTACGACATTTGAAGACTGGGTTTTTCTTATGCGATCCTACAGGCTCGTAACTTTAACATACACAAATAACCTGTTGACTAGAAATGAAGGTTATTCTACCCTTCCACCTTTTTAGTCAGTCAGTAGTAAACCATGTCCTCATTTCTCCTTTTCTAATGCCTATTGTTATCAAAATCGCAGTGAAATGTGGTCAAATGCCAAAATTCAGAAATAACAGATATTTTCTGTAGTGTTTACGAGTTTTGACAGTTTTATATCTGAGAGTTCAATTTGATTACGCAAATTTTAGTCAATTTTCAGATCTTCGCTTCAATCTTGAGATCTTCGATTTTTCCGCGGTGATCTTCGCGTCTTCGATTTCTTCGGAAATACCCATAGAGAGGCTCAGTGATCTCGCGCATTACCGTGGATAAAATTTAGCATTAACTTTCTGAAAGAGAAAATCTTTATAACTAAGCCTTGTGTATGTGTCTACATACCTTGAAACTTCGCAAAACCAGTCGTGCACAACTCATACAAACCCAAGGTTCCTCAAGAACAACATTAACCAGACAAGAATTTAGCTATGATGCAACAACAACCAACACCCGTTGAACATGCTGTCTAGTCCCAGCTTCTACGTGATCAAGTTTGTCCGTCTCTGCCCAGTCTAGTTAAATTATTCACAACCCGAGTTCATTTCTATTCTGTGTTTCTAACCATGGCATGTCAGTGATGCTGCTGAATTTTTCTTTTTTTTTTCATTTCAAAATAAAACAAGTGACACAATTTCGATGGAAGCAGTTCAGTTTGGGGTGGGGTAGGAGGGGTTTAAGAAGGGATGAGAGGGGGGAGGAGGGAGGGGAGCTTAGGACTTGGCGTTTCCAATTCCGCCAGAATTTTTAAACGATTTAGGAACCATGTGAGAAATAATCTAAATCGCTGTGCAGTGAATGATTCAATACAAACAAGACAAACCAGATCAATAAAGGCCCAACAAAGATGGAGAGGAAGTATACTACCATTTCTTTTAAATTCAATTCAATGTATCTGCACCCCCACTCCCTTAATCCTCGTCACGCTTACTCCGCGCTCCTCACTTCACCCCTCCTTGGGTGTTCTGATCTATTTAACAAGTTACCACTACGCCTTTCCCGATTGTGCTCGTAAAATGCTGGAAAGTTGCTCACTGAAATGCCAAAGAGTAACAAAAATATCAAAAATTAAAAAAAGTTACCTCATAATTTCAAAAGTTGCCACCGTCATGTTTTGATATTTTCATAAAAACATTAACTAAAAGCTTTAGTTTAAGTTCGTCACAATAAATAAACAATAGCCTCTATTGGCGAGAAAACATAGAGAAATTTTTGTCCGCGGACATTATCTGCTCCTAGATGCAAAACTGTGAGCTTCGAGGAACAGATCATATCCAAGGACAAATATACGAGCATATTTTCGCGCAAATTATTGGCTATTGTATTTATCATCCTTCAAATATTTTGCAACACACGCAGAAAAAATTTTACGAACAGCTCAGCTGTTTTTCTGCGTAGAATGTTTTCTTGATCGTTCACAACTAATTATGAAAAAATATATATCTCCCTTCTATTGTAACAATAAAAAAAGGCGCTCTCTTATCTTGAATTAATTTCCACAGTGCACGTAAGGTTTGAAATTGGGTAATATGACTTGGGTGATATTCACGGATATCAGTTGCTCCAAACGCTAACAATTGCTCAGTAAAAGTTGCCGAGCAAAATCGGGAAAGACCAAGTCATCACATAGCATGTTCAAAATCTACAGTTTCAGTTTCGTTAGCCGAAATTCTTTAGATTACTTAACTGGAGAACACTTAAGAACAGACATTATTAAGCCCTTCTTATGCACTTTATTTTGTCGTCATAGATGATTAGTGGGCGTCGCCTCGCGAGCATTATAAGGGATATTTGAAGTTGAATCACACGACGTGACAATTGCGTTGTTTTTGTCAGAAGTGAAAACAAAGATGGCGAACGCTTGGACACAATTCCAACCATGGCAAAATCAACCTTTACCTCCAGGCTGGGAGGCTAGATATGATGGCAATATCGGAAGATAGTAAGTATCTTTGAATCTATGGTTGTTGACTCGTGATGTAAAGTTTCGGCAAAAAAACCTGCGTTTTGATCTGGATGAGTCGCAAGCATTTAAGTTCGCTGTCGTTGTGCGCGAGGCTTTTTCGAACAGATGGCTAAGCTGAATATTTCTTTCTTGCGGGAAACATATTACTTTTGAGCTTGCCAGAGTATGCATCATTTAGCTGATTATAAGGAAACAGTTTTATTGTATTTGTAGCTAACAGATACAGGTTCGTCGTGATTTTTAAATGTTCTGTTTGGTTTACTCTTGGCTAATTTCGATGTAAAAGTTAGCCTACTATCGGCACGATGTCTGAAAAACTATATACTTCATTATGCATACAGTTATCTAAAAAATGAGACAGTGATGAAAATAAAAGTTTACATTCTGGACTCATGTTTTCTTTAAGAATAGTGCAAGGTTATACGGAAATCTTTCCCGTACAATTTCCTCCTTTGATCTAAGCATCAGTGGATATTCTTAAAATATACAGGCTGACGTTTGTTTAAACTTGTCTTTATCGTAATTAGCGATCATTTTCAGAATTCTATGTCGACAGATTTTTCATCTACAAAATATTAGTAATTGAATGTGCCTGTCGATAACATATTCAAAGAATGTCAATTTATGCATCTTACCTTGCAGCAGAGTTTTGAAAAGTCTAAGTTCAATAAACAAGCAAACTATCTCTGGTTATAATTTTCATAAGTCAGACAAGCATTTTACTCATGGGAGAGACAGTCAGGTATTTCTCCCTATAATACCTGTGAATGCATTGTTAAGCAGAGGGTTGATAGGAAAAATATAAAATTCTACCAAGGGATGAATACAGGTGATCTGATGGTAAATTTCCCAGATCCAAAATTCTGAGAAATGTTTGTCAGAGAGTTGTGAGAATTTATATTTAGATCTTGGGAGTGAAAGGGAAAATTACTTGTTAGGAAAGAAAAAATATTGTTATTGGCCTTTAGTGAAGATGCTTATTATCAAAACTAAATAATGGATTACAAAATTATTTTTGTTGAGAGTTATTGTTCTTTATGAAATGACTGAGGTACCATGAGTTAGTCCAAAACCTATTGTTTATTGCACAAGTAAACCTATAGTTATCTAAAAAAAGGTGTTGAACAACACTTTCTATCAGTTTACAGGTGTAATAACTTAGGCAGGATGTTGGGAGAACAGAAGTCAGAATAGTTTGTAAATCATTTGCTTCCAGCTTGGATTTTTTAAGGGGTAAACTGATAGAAATTACAGCTTATTGGTTAAAAAAAATGGGGGGCAGGGGTTAGAATTGGAAGAAAAAAGATTGCCTGATTTTATTCACTTAGAACACTACAATCAATTTTGAAGATTTATTGATTTACTTTTACAGAAGTCATGTATGTTTATGAGATATTTCTTTTATTGGTCATGTTTTTACAGCTACTTTATTGATCACACTACACACAAGACAACATGGGAGGACCCCAGGTTAAAGAGAACAGAGGCAATTCCTTTGACTCAGTTTAAGGTAAAATTAACCATAATTTGAAACACTATTTGGTTAATGGTCATAGATTTAAATTCAAATTGAAAATTACCATAATCTGAACTAGGAAAAAATAACAAGCAGCTAATAAGAGCTCACTGTACTGAGTAATGTTTATTGAGTGGACTGAAATGTAATTTGGTCTGGAATCAATTGCAAGATTTCAAAATTATTTGCAAGATTTCAAAATCATCAGCAAGTTTTCATATCTAACAAGCCGACAATTTATAGGTACCATAACTTGAAATCATAAGTTGGATTTCAGACCAAACTTGTAAAACACAAAGTTCAAATACCACATTATTACAACCATTTGGAAAACACCTGATCAAGTAAACACCAAAATACAGCCTTGTGTTGAGGACTCTGGTCAATATTTTACTGATTTAATGGCTGGTTTGTGAAAAACTTGGCATGGGCAAAAGTTGCATTTACGGCAAGAAAAGTTGTACATCATAATTTATGAATGAATCAAACTCATTAGAGCCAATCAGACTGTAAAGATCAACATTGATTTCAAAATGGATGTTATGTTTGCACAAAACTTAAATTTAAGTTTGGGAAAACTTATAAATAAATGAAAACAACATGTTTTAAGTGTAAGGCATTAGTTTGTGTCTTATCCTGGGTTATTCAGAATAATTTTACTGAAGTCCAAAGCTGCTATAGCAGCAAATGGTTGTGAAAGTCCCACAATTTTTACCCTTTAATCACTAGAATTTTCACCTCTATTTAAAGTGGCCACCTCTTTTATGCAGTCATGGTCACCCATAACTGAGTCCTAACAGCCTTTTGTGTTGTCTTTCACTTGTAGTGAACTGTCACTCAAATAGAACTAAGAGTAATGTTCCACATAAAATTTAATCCATATCCATCTCCTAAAATCAATGATGGTAGAATTATTAAGCAAATTCTTGTGCATTGAGTGGTCAGTTGTGACATAAAATGATGTTTTTTAATTGTTTCTATATATTACCATATTCTGTGGGACCTGTATTAAGCAGTCACCCTGTATTAAGCTGTTACTTAGCCATTCCCCATGGGTGACCTGTTAATACTGGTTTGACTGTATTTTTATTTACTGTTTTTGTTGCCATTGTGATATCATACAGCAACATTCAGCTGATATCTATAAATAATTATGATCTCTCTGTAACATAAGGCATGAAGTCAAATTGCATATTTCTTCTAGCAGTTCATATTGACAACTGATTTTCAGTGTCTACAGTATTCTGTTTTAGTAGAGCTTTGATCTACCAGCTCACTAAACTTGAGTCTTACTTTTGTAATAAATAAACATTTTAATAACAAAACAAGTATACTTATTGATTGTGCGTTATTTAAGTTTTCATTGTAAATGATTAGCCACAATGGAGCTCCTGACAGATACTATGTACACTATCAATTGGCTTTATATTCTGTAGCATGTTGGATTGAAAATAATTACTTAACATGCTTTTTTGCACATTTGGTTATAGGGATCGTCAGGCAATAGAGCTCCTTCAAATCAGTTGGTGAGGATGGAATGATACTTCTTAATGTTACTAAGGATAAAATGAAACAATAACAACAATTTAACTGCTCCCTTGCTTAAATTAGGATTCCCTGTGTGTCCAGCCAGCCCCCAGTAATCACATTACCCAAAGGCCAACATATCCTTGCAACCTACCTAGAAGTCCTCATTCCAGTCACCTGTTAACATGATGAAAGAAAATAAACAAGAGGGTGGGTGAAAGAGGAGAAGGCTTGATACAACAGCTGTCTTTCATTCAGAACTAAAACAAAAACTGATCTTGAGTGATAATATCCAAGTGGGCTGGAAAGAATGGAAGAAGGCAACAGATTTAAAAGTTTGAGTATGCTTAGATATCAATTGTGGTGGACTTCATTTCATGATGTAATGGTTTGGTAGAAAGAATAGTGATCTTTTGAGTGAGATTCATTGGGTCTCCTTCTCAGCAGAATTTCTTAAGATTTGGTGGAATGTTTAGCATATCAGTGCCCTTCCAATTGCCAACTGATTAAAAGAAATTATAAAACCAATTTTAAGTTAGAGGGAGAGAACAAAAATTTGCAAAAAGCAAAGATACTGACTTTGAAATGATTAGCAAGACAAATTTCACATTTTGTGAAAATTGTGAAAGATTTCACCTAAGCAAATTAGAAAGCAATTTACCACTGGTGAGCAACTTCCTTTTCAGCATTTTTTCTCAATAATGAAAACCTTTATGCTGATATGAACTACAGAAAACAATTGTCCAACCCTTGTTTATTCCATTTTGGTTAGTTTTGGTGATTTTGAAGGCAGAAAACATAAAAAATTATAGTATCCATAATAACGTAATGTTGCTAAAGGTGGAGCTGTTTGGAGCCACCTTAAATGTATGATGGAAATCCAGGAAAAATTTGTTTTGGCTCAAACATTCAAATTAACAAAGGTTTGAATTAATAGGAACATGACTTTTTGTGATTGTCTGAGACAAAGGAAAAATTAAAAATTAACTGGGTTGAAAGCTCCCAACCAAAGAAACAATGTAAACACAGCATGGATATACATGTGAGGTATTTTTAATTACTGTATACTGTGCTTGATTTTGCGATCTTTGTCTCGAGTTGGTGGATTGCAAAATCAAATAATAAGCTAAAAGCTCATAATATGAAATGAGACAAGTACAAAAATTATTAGATGATATAGAATCTCATGTTTGTTGCTGCACTGTACTAGTATTATATTTAGAAGCCGAGGAGAGCTAAGAGGAACTGTGGATTGTGTATGTAGATATATGATGTACCGTGTCTGTCTGTTTATGTGAATTATGTTTCTTTATGAAAAATGTATTTAACTTTGAATTAATAAAAATTAATAAAATACAAAAAAAAAAACTGTATACTGTGCTTATTATGAAGTTGTCTCACCTTGTCTATCTCTCATATTTCTTTAGGAGACCAACTTTGGGGGAGGTAGCTCTTTCCAAGCAGGTTCATCTTCACGACCAACAGCAGCAAAGAAAGTGACTGAGGTACAGATCATGTGATCATTTGGTACTAGGATATATTCCTTTCGCATCCATCTAGATGGTCACTAGAAATTCCACAGGGGAAGTGGGTTTAAAGGAAGAAATTTAGAGGGGTGGGGGTTGTTTGTTGGGAACATTTTTAACCAAAGGTTAGCAAACATGATCAATTTGATAGCAGTGGATGATTGATCCTTGTTGAAAGTTACTCTTGAGCCTGCATGGCAGGCCTTTGTTTTCTCTTAAATAAACATGAGATTGAGTACTTCTTGAGTATTTGAGTTGAGTATTTGCATTAACCCTTTTACTCCCAAGATTTTATCATTAATTCTCCTTACTTTCTGCCATAGAATTCTTATGATGTCAGTTCAGAGAATTTGGTTTTGGATCAACTTGTAATCCATAAATTGATCGTTTTCTTTATTCTCACTACTTGTCTGCTTGATATTGTCTTCATATTGTTAGGAGAAATTCTGTCTTACACACTTCAGGGAGTGAAAGGGTGAAATGATGGAGTCAATCATTTAATGTATTTAATTTGAATCAAACTGTAGTGGAAAAGGTAGAATTCTGTTCTCTTAACATTTTTTGTTGTCCTCAAACAACAAAAAATATCTCAGTCTGAAGATGCTGACATTACAGAACAATGAAAAACCACTGTATACATTTTGTATCAATATGGAATTCTGATGGACAAAAATGTGTAAATACTGTTAGTCACACCACTTTCATGTCATTGAATTTTTCAGTAGTATTTGAGTTCAAGTACTAAACCTAATTTGTACATGTAGATCTTGCAAGAGGGTTGAATGTCCAGTTATAACAGTATTGGAATTTCCTTTTGGTGGGGACAGTTAAAGATGCTCCGAAATGGAAATTTTAGGAAGTGGGGAAACGAAGAATCATCCATGGGAATGACAATATTTTTTGGAAACTACATATAAATGTACACATTAGGTGCATGACTCAAATAATGTCATGCATTGGCTGTTACTTAATTTTTGTTGCTTTTTTTATCAGCCTGAGAAACCTCAGCGTCCAGCCAGTTTTACAGATGAAGACTTCCCCGTGGATAGTATTCTATCACAGATGCTGAAGGAAGACAAGAGTGAACAGGAAAAGGAAAACGGTGAGTGTCCATACAATCTTGTTGTAGCTTATGATTGAATGGGGAGAATGGAGCATAACAGAAAGAGACATGAGAGCTTGTGTGCATTGTTTTTGTACCTTTTTTTTTTTTTTTTTTTTCAATTGTCACAATTAAATCTGTTTATGGCATGAAAGTGCCAGATATCAGAAGATACATCTAGCTTTTGCTGTTTATCCTTTTGGTTGCTGTATCACAAAGTCTCCTTTTGGAGTTGGTATTAACCCCTAAGAGTGACCAACATCTAATTTCTTCTCACAATATCATCCCTGAATCACACAACAAGGTCACAAAAATAAGGGAAATGATTACCATCTAAAGAAGCTCTTGTTTGTGAAACAAATTCTCCTCGTCAGCACCTCAGGAAATGAACAGGAAACAGTAAAGAGAATATGCATGCTGATGTTAGAGTATAAGGGGTTAAACCAAGGTTGATGAAATTGTGCTGAGTATTTTATTTTTGCTGGATCAAACAGATTTAAAAAAATGTTAAAACAACAGAAATTTGGAACTGTTGGTCTGGTGATTTCCCACAATGTGTTTTGTGATAATGATCCAAGAAAGATTTATTCCTTGATTTTGAGAAATATATCTTTGTAAAATGATCAGGTGGAGCATTATTTTTTCAATTCTTTTCTGATTAATTATGTGTATGTACTTCAACCATTCACCCCTAGTGAAGAAACAAAATTGAATATGAGTGCATTCACAAAATAAGGCCAAGATTACTACTGACAAGAAATGTTATGGCAAATAGAGTGATTTCCTGGCTGTAAAAGAAGCAGAATTCAAACAGGCACATTTTAAACTAGTTCAATGTAAAGTTCTTTATTAGTAAATCTGTTTGGTATATAATTCAAAATTTTTCCTTGATGACTGATTTCAGTGAAAAGGAAGTTAATGGGTGAGTTCCCAGGTGTGGATGAAGTTGTCATAGATGTGGCCCTTCGTTCTGTAAGTATCTTTACTGGGATTTAAATAATCATCAGCGACAATATATGTGAATATCTTCATGATCATGGAGGAAACATGCTTTGTGCCTTCACTGATCATGAATGACCATTGATTGTGTTCAGTCTCAGAGAATTCTAAGGATTAATAGGAAGCAAAGAACACAATGTGGCAATTGGTATCATTTTCTGGATAAGGATGGGATGGTATTCAAACAAGACAACAAATTTGTATAATTTTATGAACCTCAGGGCTTTATTTCAAATGGTTGCTATTGTCATGCACAGGTTATACGACTGTATTCTTTATTCTGACTCATAAGCCCACTTGTAAAATGAATAACACCTCAATCGTTAATGTTGTTACTTTGCATTCAGTATTTCAAGTTAACATGTTGTAGTTGTGTAAATAGGGACAATATCTTGAGCAAAAGTATGGCATGCAAGAAATGAGTTACATGCACTTTTTAGAACTTGCATCTAACAATTTTGTACAATCTCTTCCATTCCCATTTGTTGAACCTGTATCAACATTTAATTCTATGGATCAAGTAAAGCTTTGTTCTTTTCACTCATACATAGACTTATTTCCATTTACTCCTTACAATATTAGGCCAAGCATGATGAAAGGAAAGCCAGGGAAGTGATCAAGCAACTGAAAGGTACACATCAGTAATAATACAGGGTATTTGATTCAGGTTTATTTTGATATTTCTTGAACCTCACTCCATGTTTATGTATATCCTTTGTAACTTATTGTTTAATCATTGTGATGTTTTAATGACAGGTGATGATGACAAAAAGAAAGGGCCTGGGAAGTAAGTTTACAAAGCTGACCTGTATGTACAGCTGTATAGTTTAAGTTAAAACTTTTCAAATGTTGCAGTGTGGGTTAGGTTCTTTCAGCAAAAATGCGCAGGTTTTTTTTGGTCACACAGGAGTGTTTTGACTGTTTTTCTTATAAACAAAAGACACAAATCTCTTTATCTCAGCAGTTTGTTCAGTTTCGTAAACAGCCAACTGGTTTGCCTGGCAAAATGTGCCTTGATTTTTGCATTAAACCACCCTTAATACTGCATTGAAAATCTAAAGATTATTTTTGTTTCCACTGGACTGTTTCAAGTGTGAGAAAGGATACACAGAGCTTGTTTGGTACAGCAACAGCACCTACCTGTACATAAAAAGTAACTCAGTGTAAACATGTAATTTGCAGAGGAAAGAAACAGACAGAAACTAAACCAAGAGCCACCAACAGTAGTGGAACATCTATTGCAGCTGCCTCGTCAACTGAACAACTCAATAAAAACAAGGGTAAAGCTGCAACTAAGACCAAATCCCCCAGTGAGGAGCTTCATGTCAAGGCCACACCCACTTCGCCCGCACCCCAGCCAGAAGTCAAGCCACCATCACCTGCTCCTGCCAAGGTGAAGGTATCCTCAACTTTAGTACCTGGACCTGGTGGGCAGTCAAGGAAAAGTCCGGGGGGAGCAGCATGGTCAACTCAAGCCCAGTAAGCGAATCATATTTACGTTGTATTTCCTATTTATATTTGCATTGGTTTATTGAGATAATGCCCAATGCCTCATTTATGCGCGTGATGAATTATTTTGGGTGATTTTTGTGATAAATCTAATTGCACAAGCCTAACAGCAAGATATGACTTTCATGCGTATAAATCGTTTCTTGTACAAGTGCCCGTTGCGAGATGCTGCATTAACGTAGGGAAAACTCTTGATTAGAAATCCTATCAGCGATCAGTGGCGGGGACATGTCAAACGTTGATTAGTGTTAAATTTACAACTTCCAGTTGAACCTTGGGACTTTTTAAAAGACCCAAACCCTCGAAGGCCTGTAATCAGAAGAGAATTACTATTTCATAATTGTGCTTTTATATAAGCGCGATTTATTGAACACGAAGCTCTTGTCAACTTTGTAAACAAAATTTGCTTGACCTCGACTTCGGAGACCCTTTTAAAACGCTGGAAGATCAGGCGCTTTGTATCCCAGTTTTAATATATAAGATGAAAATTTGATTGAAAGAGTTCGGATTTGTCAACTGGATTTAAAATACAGACAAAGCTGCTTTCAGACGATCGTCTAAATTGTGGGTGCAATTGAATATGTCTATCTAAATAAGGAGAGTTTTAACTGTCAGTTATTTCTGAAAAGGTGCGTGGAGTAGATAGATTATTTGCGCCGTGTCTCTGCTATTGTCCAAGCCGGTGAACGTGGTCAGTTTATATTGAGAGAAATCCGGAAACACAGCAGCAAACAACGAGTTTTTGGCGTGACTTGATCACGCTCTCTTACCGAGAAGTGAACTTTTTATTTCCGGTTTTGAGAAGTTTAGACAGTTAAAAACGTTTATTTTATTCAGAGCATTTTAATCTTAAATAAATTTGTGTTGATTTTAGAACATTTCACATATCGAGCATGTAGCAAATATTTTAGAGTCAAACTAAATAAACCGTCAGGGGCTACTTTAAGTTTGTTGTTGACAGCCCTTCGCTACCTCTAACCGTCTTTGTCCTTTCTTGGTGTTTCATCATCTCTTTTGTGTTTTCTGTCTTTTCGTGTTAATATTATAAGTTGTATTCTATTTTGAGCTGATGGTAGTTTCTCTGCCTGTCACTATTTGTCGCAAGTTTCTAACTTATATAATCCCACTTAAAACTCAGGCCTGTTATTACTTCGTTGTTAAGCAGTCAAAATGGTACTGGGACTTGCAGCCGCAAGGGAGGAAAAATGTCTCACGGAGTGAGCTCAATTACAAGATTTACCCTATTAAACTCACTGGTGACACGAACTCTTTCAAATAAATGCTCACGACAAACAAGAACACACTATTTGATACGTCCTCTTAGTCTTATTCGCTTCCAACTTCGTTTTGTTTGTTTATTTTTTTTTTTTCTCACTTTTAGACCGAAGATCTACCACTCTCCCCTTCGTTGTATGCCCAGTGGACCTAAACCTGCAAATGCACAGGGACCTAACCCACAGATGCTGCTGTAAGTACTCAGCGCTGTAATCTGCGATCGTTTGAGTCGCCATAGCGGATAGCAAACTTTCTGGTGACTTAATTTGCAGCGAAAGTGGCTAGTTTGGCGACCTGTACTCGGTGGTCATGTATACTGAAGCAAATTGTAACATTTTTATCGGTTAATGTTGAGAGCGCAATTCAACCGAGTATCGTGAAACAAAGACTTGTTAATATCACTAAAGCCGATTTCAGGAGAGTAAAATAACAGACGGACCTAATGACGTTAGTTTTGTGAGCCAATTACAGAGCGAAGTAAAGAAAAACAAAGGCAAGCCCAGATTACTTTTGACACCCAATTGAAATTTGCTCTCTGGTATTAAGTCAAGTTTGATGAATAATTGCAAAATATTTAGCTCGAAGCTCCGTTTACTCGTTCAGAGTAGGCGTGGTTTGAGAACAAATCGTAAATCGTTTTCCGTTTTCTTTTCCGAAAGGCCTGAGTGGATCCAGCCACAGGGACCACATACGGCTAATTATGCGGGCCCTCAGCGAAGCAATGTCCAGGGACCTGCTAGGCGAGCCTCAAACAGGAAAGTGCCCTTGAATTGTGGTACGTACTATGAAAAGGCAGCTCTTACACTTTTTCAGGGTAGTTGACCTGCTTTGGAGACACATCTGTAGATAGTTTTTCTTTAAGAAAGATGTTATTTGTCATGTCACGAACGTGGGACAAAGAAAAGATCTGAACCCCACTGAGGAGTCGAACATCAGGCCTTCCTCTTACCGGCCTCGATACTCTACCACTGAGCCACAGAGACTATATGTTGAACTCAGCCATCCCTAGGTTCATAGGTGATTCGCGCCAGGCATACTGCAAGGATATGCACCGTACAAAGTGTCGTTTACGAAAAAGAAGAGGGTGATGGTAAATTTTGAGCCTGGTTTGTCTTAGTTATGATTTGAACATTGTTCAACATTAATCCAAATCGCACCTGTGTGTAGGTTTTTGTGCAGCATACGAAGATAATGATGTGTTTTCAAACCGGCAAAGTAACGTTAATGGGTCGAGATTTGAACCAGACAGATTGATGTTTTGTCCTTTTTGCTCCCAATGGATTCTGCCAGGTGGTTAAATTTGGATAGCGTATTTTCTTAAATACTCAGCGACTACGAAGAATGGCCTGCAGAAGCGGCACACCTTTGCATTTGCCTGGAATGAGTTTTCGCTGGCTCCCATGAAAACGCCGAAAACCTTTTCCATTTTTCGGCTAATAGTAAGTTGACCTGTGTTTCTTTTTTTGAACAGGTGCTCAAGCAAGCAATCACCAGGGCTCGAATATAAACTTGGTTCATGGATCACTTTATGCCCAAGCTACTTTGCTGTGAAGCTTTGAAAAGCTAATTAAATAACACTGCGGACACAGACAGTATAAAAGTGTTTGTTTTAGTTACTAAACAGCTGTAGAAAGGAGTAAAAAATTTTTGTTATAATAACCTCTGGTTAACAATCAGATTATGAGGTCGAGATTTCTTTTGCGATAGCTATTGAGGGTAAAGCCCTAATCAATTATTACACGTAGCAATCGAGAGCAAATAATCTGTTGTAGTGTTTATTTTTCAGTCCAATGCTTTTCATTTTCCCGCAGCCAAACAATGTGAGGCTACTCACAAGCTATCACAGAATAGATAGCAAGTAACGCAGCCAATCAGATCGCAGCATTTGTGATAGAATGCTATTTTATTTATACCAATAGTCGTTAAGTGATTACCTAAAGATGAGACCTATTGTTTTCTGATGAATGGTTTCCATTCGATAGAACTGTCTTGAAAACTTAACCTATACAACTGTACCTAGTTAAAAGGCAGAAAATTAATCTTTTTGAAAGAATTCAAAGACAGCTTCAATTAAACAGCGCAAATGAGGAAATGGCGAAGTTGTGTGGCATTATGATAGGGGCACAATTTCTAACTGATCTCTTGATCCTGTTGGCCATTGCAGTAAAACTCGACGTCTGGCTCTTTTCTATAAATTATTGAATTTGGTTCTTTTAAAAACAGGTTAATCACCCCCTGTACAAGTTTTTAGTTGAGGTCATGACATCGTTGATTCCCAAGAGTTGATTCTGGGGCACAAAAACATCGACGTCTGGCTCTTTTAGTTATTCTTTAAACTTTTCGTGGCTAGCCATCTTTTGAAAGGTGTGATTCAGAGACAGTTTTATTCGATTTTATTCCAGAGACCTCTCTATTTCGAAAGCTTTACCACTGCTGGCATGAAGTATCAGATATGAAAACTTTGAAGCATAGTTCACCGTTTTTCAGGAAAAGCTTCCTAAAAATCTGAGTGCCAAACCGAAATGTAACAGGCATTTCGTCTTTCTTTTGGAAAAAAAACGAAGAACGCTGGACACAGGGGGAGGGACAATTTTGTGTTGCTCAGCCAACAGTCACCCCCGCTCCAAATCAGCATTAATTCCATCCAGTTCAATTGTCTATTCAGTTTTAGCTTGCTTTGTTTTTTTTTTTCCCTAGTAACTTGCCATACAGAGCTTGGCAGCAACGAAGTGTTTTTCATCTTACTGTAAGACGGTTTCCCTCTGAAATAGACGACAAATCTTAGAAATATTTTCTGCATAGGATATTGAGCACACTCGAAATTATTTTAGTATGACAGAGCATATCTAAACGCGATAATTTTCCACTTCCGGTGCTATTAACTAAACAGGCACCTGGAAAGCCAAGAAAAAAAATTATTAAAAGAACGATGACAAGAAAGGCAGCAGCAACTTACGAAAAGAAAAATTAATCGTTAAGTGGATACAAGGACAAATATGTTGTCATGAACAATAATATAATATTCTTCTCAATAACGATCATCGAAAATTTTTAGACAAAAAAAATTGCTCAAAACACGCTTGAAAGAAGCTTGTAACTATAGGCTTGAATGTTAACAATTCATATAAAATATGCATAAGAGTTCAAAATCTTGATGATTTATTCAAGGTGACGTTTGGGTAGGTCTGTTGTTTGGTTGGCGATTGCCTTTGTCATTCGCTCATTGTTTATGGCTGATATTCAAATTAAGAACGGTAACGCAAACATTGGCGAACTGGTATAAAAATTAGCCAAGTTGTATCTATGGTCTTATCACTTTGATCAAGGCTTTACTTTTGAAGGAAATGATGGTAAAAGTTTGATGCAAGTTGCAATTTTTCCTTTCATACCACGGCTGTCAGAGCTGCATAGCTTTACAGGTACGTGTAACTGTGGAAATCAGTCTGTTTATCTTTGAGCCTCTGAAAGTTAAAACTTATCGCTGGGATATCTGTGCCATTGAGCGAATTTTGGTATTTTCCCAACGAAGATCGATCCGAAGTTAGATTCGTCGCTGATTTTCAATTTTAAGCAAAGGATTGTTTTAAAATTTGCCCCGAATTATTCGGTATTTCGCGTGATGTAGAGGGGTAGTAGTCAATTCTAGAATAATCTAAGCGAGCGAATAAAGCCGGTTGGAAGTTCTCGTGGCGTAAATATGCGTTATGAGATGAAACTTTTAGTAATACATCGATCGGTTTTCATAACTTTTGCTTTGAGTAAAGAAATATTCGGTGTAATGGTTTGCCATTAACAAAACATAATCTTAATGTACAAGGCAGTGAATGTGAGTTGCAGTCAATTTAGCCAGGTCATTAAGCATTTTAGTGGTGCATACAGATCCTAAAAATTCAAACATTCGTCAATTCCTCCCAGCCTCGGGCGTATGCGTCGTTTATTCTTTAAAAGATGTAACGAAATATTGTTTTGTTTTCACATGTTTTTCTTTACCAAAAAATTGGTTTGAATCGATAATAACAGATTCGGATGCAATTTGACTGAGGGCCGATTACAAATTAAAACAATTAATATTAATGCGACCTCACGGAAAGTCATGACGGAGAATTTAAATTAACACGTCGAACATGTCGTTTTATTTTGCAAAATTCATAGTTTTTCATATTGAGAAATTCCAATGATTCAATACAATCACAAGGAAAAACACCTCCATGTTATTTTAGCTTTTCCAATGTTTGTGTTTTACAGCTGAGCGATTTCGCGGGAAAGTGATATTTACCATGGGGAGCTGTCAATCATAATAAATTGATTAATTCTGTAGAACAGATAAATTTAGAAACAATAGACAACTGAATGTGGGAAAGTTAAGACGTTTATGGAAATATATGGACGAATCTAGAAAACATCTGACGAAATTTATTTTTCAACACACCAACATCCGTGAAACTACTCTTGTAATTATTGGTCTTGATGATGTTTTTAAAACAAACATTTAAGTGCACTACTTAAGTTTAAAATCATTCTGTTGGTAATTTACTGTTTATCATCAATTGTCATTTCAGCCCTCGATGAATCTAGTTGATCAGGTCTAGCAAGCGGTCAGTCAATGATCACTTTAATGTTCAAATAGCCCAAATGGTTGCTCCAGATCGATAGTAAATGTCAGGCTATTATGTCAGATGCGGTCAGTTGTTCAGTCGAACGATCGAAGTCGATGGGTCGTAATATAGTCTGTCCGTCTTTCAGTCCATCAGGCTCAGTGAATCAAAAGGGGAAAGGTTACATTGACACTCACCCATTCAAAAGTTTAAGCTTTTCTAAGATTCCGTTTTAATTCTTGTAACTTTTGTAGTTTTCAACATGTTATATCCTTAGTTAGTCTTTCGTTAACTTTGTAGCTCTAGTTCCCATATTATATTTATCTGTGAAATTGAAGTTGTCCTATTAGCAATAAATACAGCCATTTTTTTAACGAGTTTGTAATAGTTTTAATTTCAACGAGTGATCCACCTAGAGTAGCACTCAAGCTACCTGTAGGCGTATGAAAACTTTACCTGATTTGTATTAAAAGTAATTACTGTATGTCCCTAAAGAGCTCTTTAACTAACAAAGGATCCAGCCGTGAGGATTATTCTGGTTGGTCAGTGTTGCATGTAAGTAGTTAACAAAAGTCGTATCCTTAAATTTGTAGTGAGGCGAGCTTGGTTTCTTTACATCACACTTACAGTCTCTGACAATCCCCATTATGGCCTTCTACTCCAAGGTGAGTATCATTCATCATTCAACTGAATATTAATTTGATATTGCAAATTTTATCGGGCTATCAATTTCGAACAGCAAAGCAACTTCCAGCTGATGTATACGTTTTCTTGCACAGGGAGACCACGTGTGGCTTGCTATAAAAGACGTGAAGGACTTTAATGTCCCTATCGGCGCTGTTGTGAAATCAGTGGATGGACTTGGAATGTTGCTCACAGACGACCAAGGAGAGGTATGAAAGAAACTGTCGCCTATTATATAACTTTAGAACCATCAGTTATTTAAAACCAGTTTTTATTGTCTTTTATTTCTTGCAGGAACGATTTGTGGGCGGATCTTCTTTGAGTGACGTGCAGTCAATGCATCCAAGCTGCATTTGTGGAGTGGATGATATGATTCAACTTGGAGAGCTCACTGAAGCGGCAATTCTGAGGAATTTGTTTATCAGATACCACGGCCACAAAATTTACGTACGTTTTAAGGAACTTGCGTTTACACCGTAAACATGTTATATCCAAGGATCTTGAGCAAGAGATTATAAACTATTTATAATCTCTTGATCTGGCCAAAAGAAGCAAGAAGATTGCCGACCAGGAATGAAATCTTAAACCAACATAACTTCAAGGGTAACCTCGCGAAACACTTGCACTATCACCCCACATGAGTTACGACATTTGGAGATAACATCTAATTTAGCAATCACTCATTGAGTAATTTCAGTTGAGAGTCAGAAATACGCGTCATGACTGGTCCGGAAAATATGACCTGCACTGCTCTCTCAACCAATCAAACGCAAGAAAAAAATTAAACTGATCACGAGTTTGCTTCTAAAAACTCTTTTGCTCTAGAGGTCGTTTACCGTCCTTTTGGTTGACCTTCGAATTCTGAATAACTCTTCGAGATATAAACCTTGTTTCTGACTGGCTGATTTAAGTGTTACGATGCCCACTTTAAAAGAAATTAAAATTTTAGAATTTATTTGAAAAGAAAGGTTTCTATTCTACGTTTGCAGACGCATATCGGCATGGTACTCGTAGCAGTCAATCCATATCAGTTGTACCAGATATATGGTCGTCAGCAGATTGATATGTACAGTCACCAAACAGATATCACTGAGCTGCCGCCTCATGTATTCTCCACAGCACAGCATGCGTTCATCTCCATGAAGAGGAGACTTCACAACCAGAGTATAATTATAAGGTATGTGTGTTTTTTAACTCCTTCCGCTAAGTTATGTGATAATGATGATGATGATGATAACGATGACGATGACAATGATGATGACGATGACGCATTTCGGGAGAACTCGAAAACGCTTTTCTGCCACCTTTGCAAGTGGATTTTCCTCATTGCAATTAATAAAAAATTATTTTTGCAGTTAAGATAAATATCGTTATTTCTGAGGGTATAAAAAGAAATTCGACAAAGTCTACAGAGCGTAAACCCTTACTTTTGACAGTACTACCTTTTATCGTGCATCCAACCGAAAAACCGGAGAGGAGAGTATATCATAGAGAGGATGTTACCTTGACCTGGTTTGTTTTCTTGTCTCTGACGAGAAAAATCTATCTTTTAATCAGTGACGTCGAGCCTATTTCGTATTAATGGATTAAAAAAATGGAACTGCATCGGGTGTACTTCAGATGAGACAAAATGCCCTGAGGACTTTGTTATACATTTTACCGTTTACGAATGCAAATAAACATCACCTTAAATAAGGATGCAAAATAAGCTTTTGATTATTATAATTCTTATGCCTTGTCTTTTAGTGGTGAAAGTGGCGCCGGCAAAACTGAATCTACAAAGCTAATCCTTCGTTACTTGACAGTTGTGGGTGGCCAACACACGACGCTGGATCAACAGATATTGGACGCGAATCCAATCCTAGAGGGTAATGAACATCGACTTTATAGTCTACATACATTCAATCTCATTCCCAGAGGTCTTGCTCTCCTAATCCTTTGCAGACGGGAAACGAGGGCATCACTTACTCTCCAGATCGCTTGGAGGTGTTTCTGTGTAAACTAATACCTGATTAACTCAGTGCATCTCTTAACAGAGGTCGAAAAAGCGTGCCTCTTGTTATTATCTTGCAGCCTGCGTATGCACGCGCATATACCCGGCTCGGCTCAACTGTATTTATTGCAGTTTATAATTATTTCATTATAACTTACAATGATTAGGAGAATAACATGCTCTGATTTTTAATTTGTTTCCGGTTAAGAACTTTTTCAACCTGTTTGTTCATTTTTCGTTGTTTTCAGCTTTTGGTAACGCAAAGACTGTGCGAAACGACAACTCCAGTCGGTTTGGAAAATATATCAATATCTATTTTAACAGACATGCTGTTATTGAAGGAGCAAGAATTGAACAGTACCTCTTGGAAAAATCAAGGATTGTAAATCAGGTAGGGGAGAGATCCAAATGTTTTCAGCGACGAAACGATAAGATAAATTTCTTTTGTCGTCTGTTACAACTCCTTTTTGTGCTTTCTACTGTTTAGATGCCCGATGAACGAAACTATCATATTTTTTATCGTCTGCTGGCCGGACTGAGTGATAAGGAAAAACATAAACTTCATCTCACGGAAGCAAAAGATTATCACTACCTCTCCCAGGGGAACTGTTTTGTTTGCGAAGGAATGGATGATGCACATGAGTTTCTTAACATCCGGCGAGCAATGAAGGTACCGAAATACTGAGCTGGATGTTCTCTTTCAGAGCGCATGATCAACAAAAATTATATTTTCCTTATTGAAAGGCTGCATAGTCAATTAAATTTGTAGACAAAGAGGTTAAAAGTTACTCTTTTCCGAGATTTCCAACATTTTCGATTAAAGCTATGAAACTTTTTTTTCCCTTTTTGGATTTCATTCTGGGTTACTGATTATGAAGAACAATGAACTTATTCAGTTCGACACCAACATTTATTTGGCAGGTTTTGATGTTTTCTGAAGAAGAACACTGGACAATATTCACGCTTTTAGCTGCCATTTTACATCTTGGAAATATACGCTTTCAAGGCAAGGTTTGCTCTCTTTTCACGGCTGACACATTCCACCTAAAAGATTTCTTGTTGTACTATGCTTTTTTTGGAATTCAGGTTTTCTCATCTCGTAAGTGAAACTGCCACAATTCACTACGCACTAAAATCCCATACCGGTCATGTTAAAACCCTGTGTGATGATATGAGCTAGAGTTTTATTGCTAGCGGTAAAGTTTCGGACTTAACCCGGTTTCAAAGTCATTTACTTTACGCTTCTCAGATCATGGTCAGATCTTTGCATATCCCATAAATATATCAAGGTATTGAACAACAAGAGTGTATTTTCTTAGCGTGACAAAGGTAATGATATTTTCCCTAGTTTGCTTTCCATTCATTGCTCTTCCGTCTCTAAATTCACAGCCTTGATCCAGGATAATATGGAAGCCTGTGCGATTTTAAATGATGACAGTGTCGAGTCAGTAGCGGAATTATTACAGGTGAGAACTGTGTGATCTGTACAGATAATTTAAATAGCCGGCAGTGACCGCATGGAAGGATATGAATATTAAGAAAGAGCAACAGATTTTTAAAGGCATAAATCTGATAACTACCGATGAGAAATCATGTGAATAGTCGTCTCCAACTTTCACACAACGCAATAGCTTGCAAGATGCACACGAAATGAAAAGGACAATGCGCGCACCCTTAAAACCAATGAACGAGTGGCACGATGCATTTACGCCATGAGTGTTGGCACACTCGCACGTGCACGCTGACACCAATCAAAAACAAGAATCATACAGTTAGACTTGGAGTTAAGATAATTCTGAGAAACATACATAGCCAGCTGTCAACGTGATTTCTGTAACAGGTCAACTAAAGAACTGAAGTCTTTAACTCGTATTCTGTACTTATCATAATCCAAACCAATTTTAATTAGAGCTATCATTCATCTTTACCTATATTGACTGTATATCTTACACCTACCGACGGTGATTCATTCATGTAAACTAAAAGTCTTAATTCCTGTTGCAAAACAGATTCCTTCAGAGCGAATTCACGAGGCATTTACAAGTAAATCAACTTATGCTTCGGGAGAGCTGATCTACTCTCCAATCGCAGAGGAAAGTGCTAAGCACATCAGGGATGCATTTGTGAAAGGAATGTATGGCCGCCTTTTCATCTGGATTGTCAGCAAAATCAACGCTTCCATAAGTAAACCTGCCGTAAGTTTCTTTGGACATTTAATGTGGACTTCGTTATTATTGCAACAGCTTTCGGTCCTTGATTAGCTACTAGGCTCATACTCAGAATCGTACATTTTCGTCTTTATCAAAGGTGGATTCACAAGGTTGTACTTCTCTTGGTGTTCTCGACATCTTTGGCTTTGAAAACTTTAACGTTAATAGGTGAGACTTCGACTTAACACAAACCAAATTTACATCAATTATCACACAGTATTTTTTTCAGATTTAACCAGGAGTGGTCAATAATGATTTGGCTGCTGATAAACACTTCTAATTGGGGAAAGAGTCTATAGACCTGCCTCGAATAGCCTGGCCCTAGAACTGACTACATATTTTTTTTTCTCTTTATCTAGTTTTGAACAATTGTGCATTAATTACGCAAACGAGAAACTTCACAGCTTTTTCGTTGATCACGTGTTTAAAATGGAGCAGGTGAGGGGGAGAGGCCGTTACTTATTATTAAATGCAGCTTTATTGTAATACCATGAAGATTTACCATACAAGTATTAAACAGGCTATTACATTCTCCAACATTAAGAATGTTCTCTAACCAATCCATTTGGCGAACTAGGCTGAGTACAGTCGTGAGGGTCTGGAGTGGAGTGCTGTGGATTTTGTGGATAACCAAGAAGTCATAGAAACTCTGGCAAAGAAACCGCTGAACTGTTTTGCACTCATGGACGAGGAGAGTAGATTTCCTCAGGTAAGAAAGAGATATTTTCTTCAAGTTGAATGAGCTAATAAAGCACTTTCCTTCATTGGTTGTTCTTTTACAGCATTAAACCATCTTTATCGTTTGTTTCTCTGTTAGGGAAGCGACGAATCATTTCTCCAAAAAATCACCTCCCAGCACGGTAACAGCAGTTGTTTCGTCAAGTCGAAGTCGCTTTCGAGGGCATCATTTGGTGTGGTGCACTTCGCGGGAACGATTGAGTATAACGTCAGAGGTAGGTTGTGGTAATAACTGCATAGGTCAACCTTCTGCATAATAACGGCCCCTTCAATATATTTGTTGTTGTTGTTTTTGTTTTTTTTTTCATGAATTATTCAGCAGGACGCGGACGAATGAGGAGACAAGATAGGTTCCTGCTTGTCTCGCGTTTGCCTCTTCTCGACTGAAAAACGCAAAACAAAATAATGCTTAAACCATTACTTTAAGTCGAGTCGTGTTACACTGCCTGTTTTCTTGATTTCTTGAAGGAATTCTCGACAAGAACAGAGACACTTTCAGCGCAGACCTTGTTGGACTTATTTGTGAGAGTAAAATGGACTTCCTTTTTAACATGTTTGCCAAAGAGATGGCAATGGTAAGCTTAGAAGTTTTGGTTACGAGTCTGAATACTCATTAGTTTATTGGTGGAAATATTCCTTAGCCTACGCCCAACGGCTTTGGAGTTCGTTGAAGATAAGTTAATAGAGACCAGATATCCACGATTTCACGGCAAACCTGAAGATGTCAAGTGACCTCGGTCATGTCGTTGCACTTGAAGTTTGAGGCTCGTACATGTGTATGATATGAGAACTGTCATGATATCATCGTAATTTCGCCTGAAAGCGTAGGATTGTCAGTTCATAAAATGGACGTAAGATTGAAAAATCAAGCAGCAGAAGCAGCCATCTTTGTTGACCAAGCTACCCACAATTCTTCACGTTTCACAAGCAGGTCGACCGCCTTGGTAAAATTAGAAACACTGGTAACCTGAAACTGCAAACGCCTAACCGCAAACCACAGGTCTCTAAATACGGCGAAATTACGGCTTAGTGCTCCAACCATTTTTTTGTCATATTTGTCCTCTGCCAGTGTTGAAGTTGTTGGATTGGGCAGAGGTACTTAACCTGAAATTTCCTTAAGTTGAAAATTGGGATCCCCTTGCGCCTCTGCGTCGGCTAAGGGAAATAAACTTCACTATTAATAGGGTCCTTAAGCAGTCAGGACGGCAACGCCGAGGAAGACTCGATTAAAAAAATGAATTTCTGCCTTTAATTAGAATTTTGAAAATGACTACATTTGTTTACCATCTCATACGGCGCCACACCTCAACTCCAGCACAACGTATAAAAGAAGCGTTGAATTCCAAATGGAAATTAAAATGATTTGCCGTCGCAGTTTCAGTTCGCAGTCGACGCAAATTGAGGTGATTTCACGTTGTTGCTCTGCATGGGGAGGCTAAGAAATGTACAAAGTTTTAAAATGCACATGCTGAGCAATTGTTCTGCCAATTATATCTTTCGATTTTCCATGTCCTCCTTGCCGTCGCCGTCGTGGTTTGCTTAAGGTCCCTAATAGTGAATGTGACAAGACCTTCAAGCAGTCCTCTACGGGAAAATGTACAATTTTAACTGAGTGCACCAACGTTCCAATAAACATCGGGCCACATTATTTCAATCTCTTTAATTTCCAGGGCGAAGAGACGAGAAAAAGGTCACCAACACTAAGCGCGCAGTTTAGGAGATCTCTTGATGTGTTAATGAAGATGTTGCTGAGCTGCGAGCCTTCCTTTGTTCGCTGCATCAAACCTAATGAGCTTAAAAAACCCATGGTACGTCATTTCATCGCTTTTTTTCTATGAATGTCATCTAACGTTGGTTACAGTTGGATAGACGTATATAAGCGAATTCATTTACGTATGTTACATTTTCAGAAATATAAAAGAGTAAGGGGGAGATCAAGCTGTAGGATTATCTTCTGGAAAGATTTAGACGGGAAAAAGATTAAGCTATATCGTATCCTCTTCCATGGGTTCAGCTAGCCAAAAGAGAATCTCCTTATGAATATAGAGCTATAATCAGTCTCCAGAGGAGAAATTTGGAAAATGATGAGATATTTCAATACCAACCTGACAAACCCCTTCATTGTAACTTAAAACTGATGTTACACTTATGGAGAGATCTGAAAAGGCTTGAGATAAACGTAACTTGGTAAGTGTTGAAGAACTCGAAATGTTTTCTTTCTTCGCAGATATTTGATCGTTATCTGTGCTGGCAACAGCTAAAATATTCAGGGATGTTAGAGACAGTCAAGTAAGTGTTAATGATAATAGTGTGCGCCATTGCAAAGGTTGCCACAAAGGGGATGGACAATTTGTGTGATTTAAATGCGCACAGAAAAAAAAATGTAGACTCTGTTGTTTTTCGTTCTTTGCTGCCATCTAATCCTCAGTATCCGTCTCAGGTACTGGCTTTGGAAACTGTTCAGATTTCTTCTATCGGTCTTTGTGATCTTCCATGTTACACAACCATATAGTAGAACCGGTCGGACTAAAGTCTTGAATAGGCGTATCTTGGCTCTTCTTCCTATTCCTCTGGCTGCCCACACCTTCCATAGCCTCTGAAATTCACCTCGTGTCTTCTGCAGTCTGTTCCTAATATCTTTACTGCCTCCACCTTCCTTGTCTACAATAGCTCCAAGATACGCAAACTCATCGACACCTTCCACTTCTTCACTATTCACCAGAATGCTCTCCCTGTTCCTTGAAAACTCATTCCTCAGTGTCTTGCACTTTCTTGTATTAAGTTTAAGGCCTACTATGGCCGCTTCTTCCGTCAATCTCCCAGTCTTCTCGCGCACTTAGATGGAAGTATTGCGACGTCGTCCACATTGCAATGTACATTGCCAATGAACCAGATCTTTTAACAAATACACTCGGTGGAAAATTCCTTTCTTTTTAATCAATCATCAGGATAGCCGGGAATTAAACGAGAACTTCGGCGCTTGAAGAATCCTATTAAAGCTGGAATGTTGTGCAATGTCAAAACCGTAGGCGTAAGAGGTACTGGGTTTAAGATTTTCGGCCGTAGTTAGTCCCAGACTTCCACGCGTCTATATTTTCAATATGGCGGGTTCACTGACGCCTATATCTAGACCAGCATCAACAACTTTAAGACCGAATTCCAGGTGATGTGTTGCATAGAATCCTTTGTCTTACAACAAGCGAGACAGCTTGAAAGCGATCGAAGTCTCATCTGAACTTCTTTGTGCCAAAACACATTGTATTTGATCAAAAATTTCTTTCATACCTTACAGGATTCGCAGGGCTGGGTTTGCCATTCGTTACACTTTTGAAGAATTTGTAAACAGATATCACATCATTATGAAAGACTTGAAGATACCACGGATGAGCCATAAAGAAATGTCTGAAGCTCTAGCAAAACAGCTCCTTTTGGATGTGGAATGGACAATTGGGCATAGAATGATTTTTTTGAAGGTGGGCAAATTAAATACTTTCTGCGATACCATTTAACTTAGTAATTTTTTCAATCCATCTTATGAAAGCTTCTGCCCGTCAAAAATATTTTTCCTGTCTGGTAGCTTTATCAGAGCCCAAAAGGTAATCCAAAAATTTACATGTTGTGAATGTAAAGGAAGAACAAACAAATATTTGCAAGCCGTCTGTTATATGGAAATTCAACCACCAATTCAGACCGGCACAAAGTCAATAGGTATTAATTTCCTAAAATATCCACTATGGATGTCAAATCATTGCCGAGAAGTCAAACTGTATTTGGTTGTTGTAATATTGGGTTTGTGTAAGAACTTTCCTTCCTTTAGTTGACCAAGAAATGTTAATTTAAATTTTAGTAGGGCAGTTTAGGTGAGACTGGGCAGATGTCTCGTTGATAGCAGACTTAAAAACAGAACACAAAATTTTCCTTAGTTATTTATCTGACATTTAACAGGATCATCATGGAAATTTACTTGAACGCACCCGTGATTCTTTGCTTACAAATGCAGTGGTTGTCCTTCAAAGAGCAACGAAGAGGTTCCTACGTCACAAAAAACGTCAAAAACAGACATGTGCAGCAGTGTTAATCCAAAAGATTTGGAAGGGATACCGTGATAAGAAAGCATATCTTCAGGTATATGATCCATTGATGCAAAAGACAATAATGCTGTCCCATTATTTTCTCTTGATTAATAGTAATTAATGATGGTCAATTTATTTTACCGGCCATTTTCAGACTGTAAGGATTTCTTTGGCCAGTGGAAAGAAACATTTTTTAATTATAATGTTAGTGGGGGATGACTTGGTGTTGCGGGATTAATCCTTTGATAATCTTATTAAAAAAATATCTTATCATTGAAGAATCTCCCGGTTTACAATCTGACATGCCAATAAAAATGTCAAGGGCTACTTACTAGTGTAAACGCAGCCCAAAAGCATTTCTGTACAAACTAAGTATGTTTTCAAAATTAACGTACCTACTATCTTTCAAGTTTTCCTGGGTCACCTGTTACTGATCAACTGTTTGCCTGGTGGTAGCAGCATATAAGGCCTGTGCAAAGTTTCTGCTCTCCTCTCATTCAGATGCTGTTGTTCGCACCACATTCCAGGATTTCAACCCTTCTCTCTTTGTATCTCGACTGTGTGTCGTCAGAAAATTTTATTGTTTTCTGTTTTTTGTCCCTCCTTCCAATGCTTATGTCATGCTGTATAATTGTCGCGAAACAATATGTTTCATTCATTTCCAATTTGGTGTAACAGCATACTTGTCCTGCCTTTCCTATTCGTTAAAGTTATAGACCTACCTTCATTTGATAACTTTGTTCAAATACTTAAACTTCTATTAACCCTTTCACTCTCATGGTCTCTTTAGTAATTCTCCTTACTTTCTGCCATACATTGCTTATTGTTTTAGTGTGGAGAATTTGGTATTGAATCAAATGACAATCCATTGATTGATATTTTTCCATATTCTCAACACTTGTCTATTTGAGATTGTATTTATATCGTACGGAGAAATTCTGTCTCGGTCACTACTGGGAATGAAAGGGTTATATGTGCATCTTCTCAGTGTTGGGAAATAATGTGGTGTAATCATCTGAGTTTAGAATTGAAATTGGGCACCGGGACGAGTTTCTAAAACTGACGTTTCGAGCGTTCTCCCTTCGTCAGAGCGAAGAAATTTACTTCCTTTTCTCAGGGTTAAAGTAACTCATCCCGAGGCTAGAGGCTAGGGAACTGTTGTAAATATATGATATAATATCTCACCAGAAGAAAAGACCCATAGCATTTCGGAACTAACATAACTTACGTCGAATGACTGACCTCAACTATTTTCTCATAGATTTTGAAAGGAATAACAAGACTCCAGGCTGTTCTCAAATCTCGCTTGTTATCACACAAGTTCAAATGCGTGCGTGAAGAAAAGCGGAGAGCTGAACAAGAAAAGGAACGAAGACTGGAGCGAGAAAAACAAGAAAGAGAGCATGAAGCTAAGATGAAGAAGGTAAGAAGTCTTAATTTGCACTAATCATGATACATTGGTGCTGAAGGTGGGAGAGCCGGGGGGGGAGTGAGAGCGATATTAATTTATATATACGTTTTGCCTCTAGGTGAAATCGTAATCTTAGCACTGTTCCTATATTGGGTCCCGTGAGCCAGACACTTTTTAATATACATCTTATCGTACGCGTTGTGGTAAACGCCGTAGGGGAATGTCATGGTGACGTTACTAAGTATTTCTTTTCCAATTAAAGGCTCAAGAAGATGCAGCGGCTCAAATTCAGAGGATGTTTAGTTTTATTACCGAAGAAGAAGAAACTGGAGCTGAGGCAGGTGGGTTGGCAAAGATATTTCGTGCTACGGGAAGGATAATGGTTGATAACTTTATAGCAATTTTACATTATCATATGGGCTAGGGATTATAATGAATGTGCAGGCTTTTGCAGTAAGGTGCTAGACTTTTCTTTTTTAATAAGAACGTCTAATTATGGAGCTGAGGCTGAACATTCCTTTTTTTGGCGATTTCAGCCTGAAGCGTTTCTAACGTGGTCTTAATTAATAGTGCAGACTGAGTTGGACCGCGAAATGAGTTGTCCTCAAAGTGTATCGTGCAATGAGAAAACCACATTGTTGTTGTTTAATTGTCCTGTTAGGCCACAGTTTTATATTTCTTTTACCTCAGTTTATACCTCTTACAGGAAAAGGTTTGAAAAAATGAGACATTCTTAACTGATTCTCAGCTTGTGTATGATCTAAAAAAATTTTTCAATCTCAGCTTGAAAGTTCCCATAAAAAAAGGTAATTTAGTGTTAAAAACTGAGTTTAAAACGTAATTTGGCCACCGTAAAGAGTTTAAAGGCTGACGTTTAGAGCGTTAGCCCTTCGTCAGAGCGATTGGAAGTCTCTCTGACGAAGTCGCTCTGACGCTCGAAACGTCAGCCTTTAAACTCTTTACGGTGGCCAATTTACGTTTTCAACTCAGTTGTTAACACTAAATTACCTGCTATACTCTCCCACCGACGCAGCACCACAGTTTCTTAAGAAACTTACCCCCCCCCTTATAAAAAGGGTTCTTACAAAAGAAAAGAGTTATTAAGGAACTAGAGATACTATTTTGGGACTAATGGGCAAATGCATTCTTGGAGTAAGGGGTGATCGAATTCAAGGTTTGCTTCTTGATTAATGATCGCGGCAAATTCTTGTTCTTTCAATTTGTCATGCAGCTGAACATAAAAATGCATTATTTGGGCGGACTGATGCGCAAGAACAGAGAAGGGATTATTCATCGTCACCGCTGTCATTAGGAGCAAGTGCAGTGGATGGCACGAGCTCACTAAGAGTGGATCAAGTTAACAGATCAGGTTTGTGTGATTTCTGTCCTTCCCGCGGTTCCTCAGCCATCCTAACCAATCAACTTACTGAATCAATTATCTTTCCCGCTATTTCGAACAATTGATTTTAGTGTAGTTCGTAGAGGTGACTGTTTAGGATAGCCGGCGAAAAAAAATCGGTTCTGCTGTTTATGTTTGAAGCTAGAAAACTAGCAGTCTCTCCTTGATTTGCAGGTATTATGAGTTACAGTCCCAGAGTGTTCAATGGATTCGGCCGGGTTACTCAGTCCCGTTCGTCAGACCTTGCCATAACTCTGACAGCTCTTATACTCGGATTAGCATGTCAACAGGGATCAACCAGTGAGGACGAAGAAACTGTACCGCGTGATGAGCATGACTCCGAAGCAATATCCAGGTAAACACGTTGTGAAATGCGATGCGAAATTCAAAGATTCCACGCCGAATTTTGTGAACTCGAACTTTCCTAAGTTGATATGACAAACTATGTTTTCTGAGTCTCTTTTTTGAAAGCGTTGAGTGTAACGAAAAACATTAGATTGAAAACAACTAAATGTGCTTCACAGCTTAGCCTTTTTCGAACATTTACACCTTTTTAGGGCACCAGAATTCGTATCTCCTCTGCGCTCTCCGCCAAAAGGACCGCAAGGTTCCATGAGGTGGCGCACGGAACAATCGTGAACTCAAGTGGGACAAGAAACAGCCAATGATGCCGTAGCTGAATAGCTGCTTTCGGTAAAAGTAGTTAATCTCTACTGGGATGAAAAACTGGACAAACTAGTTGACTGTGCGCGCACAGCTGTCTTTAAAACACAAGCATGAAATTAAAAGTACGGTTTGAATCATGAGAAAGCAGTCAATCGAAAAGGTTGGGATTTTCGTTGAACCCATAAACTCTCAGAGAGGCTAAACTATAGATAGTAAAATTAAATCCTCTTGAGGCAGTTTTTCAAAGACTTGTCATTGAGTGTCGTTTTTGAGTGCTATTTCAGCTGTCATATGGCTTTAATTCTTACCCACCCCTCCCCCCCGGCCCCCTCCTCAATTTTCGTTCAGTATTGATCACTTTCGTCGTCACTCGTTAGCTTTTGTCACCCAGAGGAGACTTCAAAATGACGCATTTTCAAGCTTATGGTACATTCTTTAGACCATCTTGGTTATATCTTAAATAACAAGGCTGTCCTGTCTCCTATTGTAACGCAGTTAATTTAAAAAAAAAAAAAAAAAAAAAAAAGAAAAGCAGGTACGGTTGTGCGGTTGTTTTTCACCTGTTATTTCAGTATTGCCTATAACTGAGTAACTTATTGTGTACACCATGTGCTACTATAAGCATAAAGTGTGAATCGTCGCAAAAATTGTAAATAGAAATCCCCTTGAGCATTAGCAGACAGTGCAGGCGTCTTATTTGGGCGAGTTAACGTTACAAGCTTTCTATCGTTATTCGACTGGCCATTTGTTTGATTTAGAGTCAGAGCGAACTGTCACTCGCCCCCTTTAAACAAACTTCTCCCTCTCCTCTGTCTTCTGCTGCTGTAAAAATCAAAGATGACGGCTTAAATATTCGTTAAGAATACACAGAGCACTCGCTAGCCAAAATTACACCTGATAGGGAATCTCGCCTCGTCGAGTATCGTCTATTGTGTGTGGAATACATTTGTTAAAGTACGCGAAATAGGAAACTGTTGTTACCTGGTTGTTAAAAATGAAAGGAGTGTATCTAGAATATGGCGTGAATAATAATGGAAATCATTCATTGAGATCGTAAGGATTAACCGGCGACTTGATAACGCAAAGAGTAGAAGCGAAAAAAGCCCACGGGGGTAAAACCAACACGAACCCTCAAAATACGCGTAAACTCTATGGGGCATTAAGGAGAGCACGTTCCTTTCTTGTCTTTATAATTTTGTGGTGAGTTGAGCCAGCTCACTTACAGTGTGACTTATTCTTACTTGGGTTACTACTTCAGCAAGATTACATCAACTCGTGGTCTCCTTGCAGCAGTATATTGGGTGGCCGTACATTTTACTTGTATAGCAAAGTACTTCGATTTCTTACGGGAGACATACAATGTCACACCAGCAAAATATGTTTAGTTAAACTTTCAATTTAACTCAGTGAATAAACATCAGAAACAGAGAACAGTAAAACTGAAGCATCCATAGAATTCAAGTGGTCACTGACTTGTTCTTTCAATGTGCTAAATTCGTTTGACATTGACGTCAAACATCGGTTCAGTAATTTCTTTGTGGACAACAAATTTAAACCGTGTTTAACGATGTGAATGGAGTATAAGTTTCTTTCTTCTTTGTCCCTTGCTCCAGAAAAATTCATGATTTATCGCATCACTTCTCTTTTCGACGAAAGCGCTTAAAATTCTCTCCTTATTGTACCTTTTGTCTATCATGGCTTTATTTCTGACGCAGAAGCTTTTTGCAAGGGAATTACTGGTTCAAAGTTGAAATATGTCAACCTCGTGTAAGGACTATTTTTAGTTTTTGCGGGTTTCAAAAAATGACGGAAAAAAACGTCAAGATGATATGAGTTTTTATGCTTTTTGTCATCAGAACAGCAGGAAATTAGAAAATGCATTTTAATAGGTAATTAACCCACCAGGCAAGCTATTGATCATGGGTGGTCTTAGTCACCAAAGGAAAAAAAAAGAATAAAGATTTGGGTCTTTAAAAACCAGTAAAGGTATTCTGACCGCATAAAAACCGCTTGAAAACAACTTTGCCCGCTAAAACGAACAAATTAATGCCACATGTACAACAGAAATGTCAGCCTTGCAAATAAAACAGGCTTCCTAAATAACTCGAGCTTTAAAAATACGGTTGTTCGCAGGCTAAAGTAAGTCCTTTATAAACAATCATGCACTAAATTTTATGAAATGGAGTGTCCTCAGTATTGAGTAGAACTAAACATTGATTCAGCTGAGAAGCTGTCGACAAAAGGTGTAGTGGACACACATTAAAGGTGGCACTTGTTTATCTGAAATGATGATACACTAATGCTACATAAGTTATTTCTCAATAAAAATCTAACGAAGAGAGTCTCAATGGGGTGATGGTTTCCAAGGCTAGCGATTTAAATTTGGCCGTTTTTTCGGCTGACGGTTAATTTCTTTCCGTGCGATTGAAAGGAAAAAATTACGGTTAACTTTTGTTATTACTAACGTTCCAAACTTCCCAATTTTTATACGCCTAACATTTAATTTTTTTTTGTGGTTTTAGGAACAACTGTTAATCTCATCGAGACCTTTAATAAAATGATAAAAAAAACTATTTGGCCTTGCCAGTCTAACATTAGCTGGCTCGTTATCTTTTTAATTAATAGACTTCTAGCTTTCTTTGTGAGACAAATTTAGAACAGATCAAATAGAGATTTACAGTATCGTTTTATATTAAAGAGCCACCTTATTTTTCAAATGTATTTGGATTGGCTCATTAACACTTCAGGCTCCACGTGTCCCTTTGATTGCTGCAGAAACCTTTTATCTGTACAACAGTGGTAACGATTGGCATAAGTTTTTTAACATACGGCCAGAAAGTTCGCATTTCGTGGGATAAATAACTTTTCAAGCACACGAAAAATTTAAATTCATATGACGAAGTAAGCCTTGGGACGCATTCACCACAATTCAACAATTAACAAACTGTTGGAAAACTAGAAAACGTTGTTTTTAATCCATACCTAGGTCGTGCCTTAATTAATTTGTAAATGTAGGCTTTATTGCCGGAATCTTCAGCGAAAAAAAAAACTGATTACCTCTTTTCAGAAAGCAAATTTCCCATTGTTTTAATTACTGGTGATTTATTTTACTCGTATTTTTTCCGAATAGGTCGTACCACAATGCTTACACGCCTTTACGTGTCCAAGCTGTAAATCTGATTGGCATTCCTCCGGTGGGTAACACGCTACCTGTCGACCAAGGCAGAAACTCTATTGAACAAAAGGCAGACTGATGGGAAAAGGCAAAGCCCACAAATAGTCGAGCTTTTTGTTTTGCAAAAAAAAAAAAAAAAAAAAAAAAAAATGGAGACAAAGAATAAAATTCAAATTTACTTGTTGTTTTTACCAATCTTGAGTCATCTCAATCAATCTCTAAGTGAAATGGATTAAAAACATTCGCGTCAGAGAATAATGTTTGTATATGGTCATGTTTGTTCCAAAATCTTAACGTGAACTGTATGAGGATAAAAAAGAGGGAAGAAGAGAAGATAGAGAAAATTTAAGCTTATAGGTCAATGTGGCAACAGTGACTTTATCTGTGATGTCAAAACGTTTTAGATTTTAAAACCTCCAGCCCAAGTTTAAGGGATGGTCAATAATCGGTCACTAATTTCAAGCGTCAATATTCTCATTTCTCGCAATCTTGCTTATTTGCCATATCTTTTTGTCTGGTACTGCTTGGATTTCTGTCTTGGCTTTTTAAAGAAGTGGTTTCAGACTCTCGAACCGATAAACTCTGGTGGAATTTCTTGCAAGGTTGGCCGACAAAAAGCAACTAATCTTGGCACAAATGCGTGATACTTAGAAGGATGGTAGGTCAGGCATTGAAGAAAGAAAAAAACAGAATGTTAAACAATGATGCTTTGACTGTGAGGGCAAATGATATCACAAAATTAAGTGCACACAATTTTAGAAACCACTTTGATAGGTTTCAGTCTCGTTCTTTTTAAAAAAACATTTAGGCTTGAGTGTTTGGTCAAACAAGCTTGTCTTGACATCTCATGTAAATCACCCGCCATTCTCTTTTATTCTTTGTTAATTTTGCATTCATCATAAAAAGAGACACGGCCTGTTCTTACGGACCTGTTCTTTCAGAAAATAAAAGCTTTTTCACAGCTTTTCCACAGCTTTAACTTAACCATTAAGGTGGTAGCATTCTTTTTTGTATCTTATCAACAACGTGAAAATATTTAGCTCGAAATTGGCATGTCCCTCTACCGTCACGTATTTCACTGGAGTGTTTTCAACCTTCAACCTCTGCATAAATCGAGCCTAGAAGCAGATTCCGGTTTATGAATTTGGATGAAAATGATTCGACAGTTGGCGGAATAACGCCAAAATGTACACAGTAAAAGTTAATTTGATTCAGTTGTCAATAAAAATCGTTTTATTTCACACGTTTTTAACTTGTTCGTTTTCAAGGACAGCTGTTTTTAGCCCCATATCTTAGCATTTACACATTTTCTTCATGAAATTAAACGTAGAAAAAACATTACTAAAACAATAATAGTATTACCATTCACGGGGAGCGTCATACCCGTCTTCAAATGTCTAAAATTATCTATTAAAAAATGCCCTTCAAACACGTTGAAAACGAATGTTAAAGAGCGTTGAAGCTCGACGCATCTATCAGCAAAATCTTCTCTATTTTAAATGTTTGAGTACGTTTAGATATTTAGCTTTTAAAAGGAATCCGTCTTTCCCACTGTTTTGTCAGCAGGATGCTGCAGGTCGTCGCCAAAACCTCGCGTGAATTTCGCTCTTGAAGTTGTCTGGAGTTCCCTTCGTCTTATTCTTGTCTGTCAGTGTTGGTTGGGTATAAATTTGTAGGACTTAGGTTTAAAGGACTGTGAAGTGGACTTCGAACAGTTCTGTCTGTTGTACTACGAGAAGTAGAGTTAGAATTACGACAAATGAGGCGCTTAAAACTTTGGCGAAACTCGTCGCTCACAAGGGAGTAAATGAAAAAATTTGCCGACGAGTTTGCAATGACGAAGATCACGCAAACATTGTAAAAAACCCACAAGTATTTGTGCTTAGAAATTCCTTCCCAATACATAACCGAGAGGCGGAAAACATTAACGGGAAGCATAGTGACAGCAAAAACTATTACGACAGGTGTTAAAAGCTTCTTAGCTCTACTGTTTTGTCGCTCACGAAGTCTTTTGCGAGCGTTGCGGGATTCGGATTCGTTACACTCTTCTTGTATGGATCTGTTAAAGTTAGTGCTGACTCGGAGCTTTACTGAAATGCTGTGGAATGTTCCAACGATAATGGTGAGTGGCAGAACATACCAGAATACAATGATCGCGATACTGTAGATTTGTTGCATCTCTCCCAGATTTCCTCGCTCGGCGCTCGGCCAGATTGGAGTACAATCGATGTACGAGTTCTGGTCAATGAACGTCATCACGAAATACAAAGGCAGGGAGATGACCAAGAAGGACATTATCCACACGCCAAGAATCATCCATCTTGCTGATCTGAAATTGAGGGAATTTCGCTTAGGAATACGGCCTCCAACTATTGCTCTGTAGCGATCTATGGCAATCAAGGTTATGGACCACACTGAAACACCGTAAAATATATCATTGACAGGATACAGAAACCGACAGAAGTATTCACCCAGGGGCCAGTGATATGGATCTTGTTCCTTAATTACCGTTAGCGGGAAGGAGAAGAGAAGTATTCCTAGATCTGCAATGGCGAGGTTTCTAATGTAGAAGTTGATAACGGTCTGCATCTGGGGTTGGAAAGTTATGACTAAGCATACCACGACATTTCCTACTATGCCGAGAGTTGCGATGAAGAACTCGAGTGTCAAGCGAACGATCTCTAACCAGTGAGGCTCTTTGAAGTACGGCAGCTCAAACTCGACAGTCTCGTTCGCGACAGAATTCATTCTCTTTTGCTATGAATCCAGCCGCGTGGTTAGTTATGGATGAACTCTGTTTGCAGTTAAGTTAGCTCACGTGCGCGCAAGGCCAGGGGGCTAAGAATTTAACCCAAAGATTTCCGCTATACCGTCTGTTTTCACTTTCCGCCTTTTAACCGTGGCTATGGCCAGACGTGGATATGAAAACTTCAGTGCTTGGCCAAAGCAGGCGAACTTTCTATCACGGACCAATCTTAACAACTATCTCCCTTTAGTGAAAATGAAGCACAAATCTGCGAGCGAGCTTATTTACCCATTCACTTAGTTCAGGTACCTGTTAAATCGCTCCAGTAATTAACACGTACCATGCTGATAAAGGAAACTTCACGACATTTCATACTGCTTTTGACTTTAATTCATGAATACGCGCTGTTAGGATGTCATTCACTGAGTAAGAGATACTTTATGACGTTTTTTTTCTGGAACATTTCCATAATCTTGTCATATTCCTCAGGCAGCAGTGAATTTATAGAACACGAAACGGGTCATAGTTTGCTTTGTTCACTCAAGCAAGACTGTCCTTTCGACAGAGATGTGATATTTATTATCCCCATAAGAAAAATCATCCAATATCATAATGGCATCCACATGTGGAAACAATTGCTGTTGATCGTTCCAGAAGCTGTATTTCGTTGTAATTTCATACACAAGATAATGGTAAAACGTCGAAAGTTCTTACTGCGCTGAAGTCAAACGAGCAAGGAGATCTACAAAACAGGCGTTTATTTTTTTCCTTGCGTGTTGTTAATGAATACTCTCTTCTTTAGTTTAAACGTAAATGAAAAAATTAACTACCGGTGGTGCATTTCGAGTATCCTATTAAAGGAACCAGCAAAGACAAAAGCGAATAAGATACTAGACACAATAAATTTATAAAAAGTCCGTTAAGTTGTTTTGCAAGTTTTGTCTTCTTTTCCCGCAGGCATGACGCAAACGGGAAAAGATTTAACCGCATAAAACAATGTGTTAATGGTAACTCAGTTTCCATCAACATGACTCAATTTCCCACATGCATGGCAACACAAATGGGTAGAGTTATAGCTGGGGACTTGTTTTTGAAACCGTAACTATTTTCATGAAAATATCGTCACCGTCTCACGTGGGTGTCACAGCATAACGTCCACGTCTTTTTAGGAACCTGCCTTTTTTTAACTTTTCATTTCTGAATTAAGCTTAAAATATTTTTTATTTTGAGTGGGTGCCAATTTGTGTAAAAGGGACTGGATTGAATAGTCATGTGCAAATCCTGCAATCCACATCATTATCAACTCAATTTGTCGATCCATATTTATTTCGTTCAAATCTGCATTGTCATTTTATTTAAATTTTCTGTTGTATAAAACAACTGTATGTGAGTGTATAAACATATGTTTTGCTATTCCTCTCCCATATTAAGAAGTCGTCGAAAATTTTTCAACCAGCCACATGGGTTTGTAATTCGGATAAGGTTTCTTAACATTTGTTCCAGGATCTCTCGTTCAGGGGACAGGACAAATGCTATCAAAGAAGTTTAAGTTTTTTTGCCTATCTTTACACGCACAAACAAGTCAACAAAACGCCAATACAACCAATCTCAAAGCCGACTTTAGAATGTCTATATGTGGCTCTAACTTCCAAACAGAATGGATTCAGTATCTGAGCTATGGAAAAAAATTATTCCTCGAATTGCTACTGCTATCTCCAGTACGTACCCACCGATATCGAAGCTCCGTTTTCTGCTATATAAAATAAATGCAACCAACAATTTCTGCGTTCGCCCTTAGGAAGGGCTGATGCTCGAAACGTCAACTAAAGAAACTCTTTACGGTGGCCAGTTTACATTATGAACTCATTTCACAAGACGAAATTATCTAAGATTTTCACCAGCTGCTCCTTGCGTCACAGGCCAGCGAATTTAAGTATTTTTTCGAGTCTGCACGGCGTCCGATATCTGTTTTCTTTTAAGGCCAATTCCGCCGATCTCAAAAGCTTTTCGTCCTCCTCATTTGGTTCAAAAGCGCTTATCATGACTTTTATGAGATTTCGATGCACGTCAGCTTTATACATAGCAACTTGTAAGAATTGAACTTAAAAAGAAAGTGTTCGCCTAAATGCTTCTAAAATTAACGACTTTAACAATCAATTAAGGCATGGCCCGCAAAAAAAAATCAATTCAAACCATCACTGATTTTAATTGAAGTGCCCACAGGCTACTCTTTTGGTTAATTTACAACTCAGTTGATAAAACCAAAATTATCTTTAAAATGTTTATCATATGTCTCTGAACTCCGTATATCATATCACTTTACAGGAAGAGGAATCAATATCGATCGATCGATCGAACGATCTAGAAATATATTTTTCTTTCTTGGTATAAACATCTATTAACGTTAAGGCCAGGCTCAACGCACGCAACATTTCATTGAAACATCTTGCAACGTTGTACAACGCGCACCCTGTTACACGCGTGTATGAACACTGTAGCAACATGCTGCAAGATGTTGGATGGTACCAGTGGAATCAGGATTGAAATTGGTCAAATTTTGTTCTGATGACGTAAGTTATTTCTTATTCTGTGAGAGGAGCAAGAGTGGGGACGTCTGACAGCTTGTCGCACCTTATTCAAAGGGCCAACTTTCAGCTGATTCATTGGCTTAAACAATTTCCTGAATTCGATGCTGAGTCTTCCATCACCAGTCAGATTTGGCTGAAAATTAAAGAAAGACCATCCATTAACCGTGCTGATGATAAAACGTTCAGGTCCAGATGGAATAACAGAGGTAACTACCTGTGGATCCGGCAGCAAATTACAATGTCTATGAAATTGTTCGCATAGGTTAAGCTTTCTTTAGCATGTGGTTGCATGGCCAAGAAGATCCGCGAATTTCATTGAGAGAAAACGTTTAATGGACAGCTCAGACTCCTCCAGTGACCAAGAAAGTACTGACTTTATTGATATTTGAGCATTCCCTTGCTGGAAAAACTAAGTACATTATCCAAGCAATAGACCGTAATTTCTACCGTTCTACCGACATAACAACCAGGCGTGACGTTAGTAGAACATGAACAACAGAACATTCGGTTCGTGCTTTACAAATTTTTCTCGTGTTCTCTCAACATCCCAAGTGGTTTGTTACAACAGTAAAACGAGGCAATGGTAAGGCATTGCTTCAAGACTTCTTCCATCTCCGACAGAACGGAAGACGACGCCATCTACTGGGATGACATTGGGAAATCCTTATTTTAGACTTTTTTGTGACTACTTTATTGAGATTTGGTTGAGGAGGTTGGTGCCGTTTATGAACAGAGACTCACTGTAATTTCAAGCGTTAGGTTGACGGAGTTGATTCCTTATATCTCCTTCTCTATCCCACTCATCAATCGTACAAAGTACTTTATTTCTAAGAGTGGATCTAGACATTGTTCTTAAAAGACAAGCTGTGCATTCATGAAAATATGAAACACATGCATGAGAAGTTTTGAGAGGAGAAGGAGGATAATTATGAGGAAAAGAATTGCGAGGCGGAGAATTATGAGGAAGAGGATTGTGAGAAGGTGAGTCACAGGGTCCATATAACTTCCAACCGGGCTAATGAAATTCAATCCCCGTTTCACTTAGTGAATTTTGAAGGAGGAGGCGGAGAACTTATTTCTTGAGTAATTCACCCGTGATTAACATCAAAGTTGATCAAAGGAAAATCAAGACAAATTAAAAGGAGACGGATTAAGAGACAGAGTGGTGGTCTGGTTACGCTTGTGGCCGTCATTCCTATTCCAGCCTTGATAATAACCGGTAGTAGGGCAATAGCAGCCGGAGTGTTGACGGGGGTGGCAGGGTACAGCGCCAAAAAAGCATTAGAAGCTGCTACCAGAAAAAGGAGAAGGCGATAATTGTAATAAAAAAGACAGGAAGCCATCTTGTTTGTAAATCATATATTAAAAAATCTGCCAATAAATGGTGTTTAAATCAGAAAATCTATAGGGAACTGACACGTGACAACCTAACAGAGAGTGTTACGCGTTCCTAGATCAGCGGTAAAGATCATTTGGTTTTGTTTTGAGATTAACGTTATGGTTCCCAAGACGTGGTATGTTGCTAGTTGTTCGTGATGGTCAAATATTTATTGTGTGATCAAAAGTATCAATCAAATGTGATTAAAATGTAACTTCTCCCTATAATATTCATACATCATCCAGCAAACAGGTCATAGGAATACTCAAACTTGTCAAGAAGCAATTTTTTTTAATCTATCACCAAATTCTCGCAATTTATTTGCAAGAAAATATGTGGCAGCTGGAGGGAAAATAAGCAATCACATCCTTGGAGTTTAAAGGCCCATTTTCACCCCTGATGCAACGCACGCCGCGACCCAATCTCCTTTAACACCGAAATTCCCAGATTACTAAAAACCTTCTAAAATCGTCTTTCTTGGGAGCCATCCTGGACATATAGTCGTCTGTTTTACGGTAAATACATTCGCCATTCGTCATTTTACAGTTTCCTTAGAGTATTTAAAATTTTGTCCGGTAGAATCCGTAGAAAAATATTTTCTTGGATCTGTACATACACTGTGTACAGCGGGGTCGGCGAAAAGGACAACGTTCGAATTTTTTCACTTTCTAGAAGCACTTGAGGATTCTAAATAAAGATACAATATTTCTGAATAGAAATTGGTATCTTTCAAAGAGAAAAATGGAAAAATATCAGACTGCCGGATGTTTAGTTATTCGAATATCGTGTCCGATAGAGTCCGAAGAAAATTTTCTTAGTGTCACGCTTGTATCTCTTCGTACTCTATGTTCGGGGTCGGCGAAACGGACAACGTTCGAATTTTTTCACTTTCTAGAAGTGCTTGAGGATTGTAAATGAAAGTAGAATATTTTCCAAGGAAACTTGGTATATTTCATAGAGAAATACGAAGTTATTTGAGGACCGTGTTTAGCCGTGCCATTGAAAAGTTTATAGGAGTCAAACCCTTAGATGGCTTAGTACTCTGTATAGACTGTATACAGGATTGGCGAAAAACATCAAATTCGAAATTTTGGCTGCCTGGAAGCACTTGAGGATTGTAAATAAAGGTAGAACATTTTCGTAGAAATATTTTGGATTTCGAAGAGAAATATGGAAAAATATCGGACTGCCGGACGTTTAATTATTTTCAGACCGTGTCCGGCAGCCAAACGTTTAGTCACTTCATTGCAGGAACGCTGGCGACACTGACAGTTTACATTACAATTCTTATTTGCACAACAACCTTAACCACTCTTTCGAGCGCAAGCTCCTCTCCACGGGTAGGAAGCTTCAACTGACCCTCGGTCTTATTTAACAAGGATGACAAACTTCAACGAAAAAGAAAATTGATGTATGAATGAAAACGTGCTGGATCAACATTTTCACCTTCCTCGGAATAAACTCGCAAGGATTTTCGTGTTCTTCTTTAGCAACAACCGATCCATAAGCGTTTACTGCCTTCATCTGGTTCCCCACCCGGATTAAAACGTAAAGTACTGTTTTAAACAGAATTATTTTGAAAAGCTCACCAAACTCATCGGAGAATACGCAGAAGCTATTTTGAGACAACGTGACAAGTTAAAAATAACTGACTAATCAGTGGAGCTATTTAAACAAAAGCGATGGTTCGAAACAAAAACAAACGACCACGTTGCATCAAGGTTGGAAATGGGCCTTAAAGGGTTAAACTGTGAAATAATGAAATTCAAGGTATAAAACTCAATATTTGCAACGTATCTTGACGGCTGACACCTAAATAACTTCGGACTTCTTTGCTAAAGGCTATTGAAAAACGAATAACTAAATCAAACCTAAATAACTAATAGTTTTAAAGTTAAGTAAAAGAAGTGAATGGAAGGAAGAAACTGAGGAACAAGTCCGGGACAAGTTTACAAAGTTCTCGAGAGGTGTGTTCGTGAGATGCTGTGAAGTATTTATATTTCATTTACTTTCTTCAATGTTGTTTCATCGTGTTCTTTGAGCTTAAAAATCGACCCAACTTACAGTGCACGACTTCACAATTAATTTCTTAGATTTTCGCTTCGCGTTCATAATCTTTTTCGGAACGTCACGTACTCTTTATGATATTCCGAAAACTGCTGCGAACGAGACAGAGGTTATGGGTTCAAATCCCCGGTCGATGCCTTTTGTTTTTAAGCCCCTTCACGCAAGTAACACAGGAAATTTACCTCAACTAAGATCATCTTTCTCTCACGATAAAGTTAACCTAAAAAGTAATCATCCAGCAAAGTAACCGCGTTAAGGCGAAAATAATTAACAGTCGCGGGATTAGTCTTTGCCATCTAGAATGTACATCACGCAAATTCCTGGAAACTCACGGCTTCATTGAAAGCAATCCCTTATAAAAATGTTTTACCCGCAAAGATTATCAGGAGAGCTTTGTAGTTGAACGTCTTTCGATATTGAATAATCGATCTGAAACGGAAACCAGTTTATGGAATTTGGGGAAAATGGCATCTTCGTGAATTAATCGCATAAATTCCTGAAGAGCCGATAGCAGAGCGGCATAGCAACCACAGAGATCTGACATTCTCAGAAAGCTGCCAAAAATAAATAATTTTTCCGAGAAAGACGGGGTAACGCACTCCATTCCAAGGGTACTATGGTCAAGGAGTCTGTCGTCTCAAGAGAGACTTTCACTTCATTTTTGCCCTCCCCTCCCACCTTAAAAAGAATACGCGAGATCGGCTAACGCACGTCAGAGTATTGATACAATTAAATTGCAGATGCCTTCTGTTTATTAATTTTTTTAATGTAGACAACGAATATCATGGCGAGCGTTTGGTTCCTTACGGTTTTGTGTGCCCTTCAATCTATTGTCCTCACAGGTAAGAAATGTTCTTTATCTTGCGGATTTCTCATTTGAGTCTAGTTGATTAACGTTCAGTTCCAGTTGGCAAATTATCTGCTCTAGTGGATTGACTCGACAGTTTTGCAATAAGATTTTCCACATCCATGATTTAAGTTTCGATTTGTTGCGAATCTGGTTTTCTTTGTCAATAGTCGATGAACCGTTTAAAGCATTTTCCTTTGTAAAAGCTTATGTCCTTCTTTTGAACCAAACTTTGACACACAGCGCGCATTTATCGGAACTTATAAATAGGGATTTTGGTAACAGCTTCTATTCAACTGACTCCTATGGTAGTGAAAGATGTCGCATATTCCATTCTAAAACTTTTTTCGAGTTTCTGTTGAAGTTCAAGGTAAATATAGTGTAGTTCTGAAAACCTGGCTGTGTAAGCTATCTCAAGTTTATTCGGTAGCAGTTCTCCGTCATACGTGGCTAGCAGATCTCTCTTCCTTCGTACGCATACACTCAAGATTGTGATCCCGCTGAAAGCAGAAGTGCCTCACAGCTATAGAAGATTAAAAACTATATTTAAAATTCATAGAAAAGAAAATAAGCTTCTACAAGTGCTCGTTTTTTGGTCATACGCTTCTCTCCGCTTTTATGTAGTCAGGCGTCGCAGGAGTTTTGAATTATCAGTTAATAAGGGCTCATGTTTGCCACAGAAGTGAATTATAGCCAGCAAAATAATATATGTGTTAGTTTTAAGGCTAATTGTCGACAGCCACTAATCTTAAGAATTTATTTTAAAACACAGCCGCTTTAGCCTTCTCCGCTTTGTCTGTTCGAAAGACTGCAAGAAATGAGAGTAACATTTCCTACAAAATAGAGCTTTTCCGAAAAAAATTAAAGCTTCCCGTCGAAATCTGTAGTCTTAATATTCATGTGCTTTCGGTATTTATTAATTTTTTTTTTACACGAAAAATTCTCGGAAATGCATCACAAGATAACATTAATCGCTTTCTCGGAAACTGGTGCTAGAGTAAATTTAGTATTTAAAGTCCGTTTTCCGGGAAAGACAGCATAAATTAAACATCACAACGAAAGGGCATGGGAAGGGAGGGTGGGGGCTATTTGCCGATTCTGTGGGAGATAGTTCTATTGCAGTAATCATCATTCCCCCTCCCCTCCCTCCAATGCCTTCCCATAACTTATCAGACATATAATCTTCTTGGTGAAGTTCATCATGGTGAGAGGCACTCATGGTGAGAGGCGATCTACATCACACGTGACTACATCGTGAAACAAACGAAAAACTTAGCTTTCATTTTTATTTAAGGCACTCAATTGTCATCGTTTCTTTCTGTTATCATTTCTGTTGTTTTATTCCAAAACAAAATAAAGTAGTTCTTTAGATCAGCTCGCAAACGTTCAGTATAGGTAATCACATGATTTCGAGTGCAATTTGGAATAAATAAGACTAACAAAATTACACGAGCCCGTAGGGCGAGTGCAATTTGTGGTCTTTGAAAAAACTTACAAGTGCTTATTTATTCCAAAGTGCACGAGAAAAATCATGTGATTATGTATTAATAATATACATGAAAAAATACGAGATAGCTTATCACAATTATGCAGAATCAAATGCAAAAATAATTTATTCAATCCCCGCAAGTGACATCGTGCGTTCGGTCAGAACAGCCGCGTACAATGAAACAATATGTACAATGATATTTTGACATCTTAAGGCGCAAAAAAGTTCAAGGTTCGACTAAACAGTTCAAGGAATTGTTCAGTCTGGTTTGTTACTTCTTTGCACTGAATTAACCCTTTTCTGCACTGAACTGCCTGAAAACTGCATTATCTTAACCAATCAGAACTGAGTAATTTTTCATGTATCTTATTAATAATGAAACAAACTCCACAACGAACCGATCCGATTAAAACAACTTCCGTCAGGGAAGACACACTTGCCCTGATCGCTCGAGGAATCGATTCGCGAACCAACATCTTCTGAATATTTTCATAATCACCATCGGCAAAATGAGAAACATTTTCACTTTCGCAGCTATCACTCTTGCTCTTTGCATCATTATTGTACCTAGATATGGAGAAAGTATTAAAAAAAAAGGGCACTTTCTTATCAACCACATTTACCAAGATGCCGTACCATTCTGCACTGTGGTCCGTTTACGACACATGTATCGAATTGTTTTATATCAGCTTCGAAGAAACAGTGAGTTGATGTCTGAAAACACATTACTGACAGAAATTTTTGATAACAACGATAACTACCCCCTAGAGGGGAAGAGGGAATGACAGGTCATAACATCCACCATAGATATCCATAGTTATTCGCCCTGGTCGACTGCAAATGATAAGATTAAACGGACAGCTGATTTCAAACGATATGATTCAAAGTTTATATGTATAGTAACTTAAAAGGTATTTTATTTGCAGGGGTGAGCTTTTCTCATAATATTTTCAGAGTTTTCACTACCTTCTACTGTTGACAAAAGAAGGACGCAAGCGCTAACGGGTTTCGGAAACTTTCTAAGCCTAACAATTAGTAGTGTAAGCATTTCTGTAATGAGTACTGAAAAGACCGAAATTAATTTTTTTTGACAGATGCCACTCAAAATGAATACAGCGACAGAACCGAATCACTATTGGCTTTCTTGAAACATTTCAACCATAGCAGACATCACGTGACTAATCCCGAAGGAAAGAAGAAAGCGCAGGAGTTCATTCATCAAACTTTCCAGGATTTGGGCCTTGTCACGTGGCTTGAAAAATTTGAACCCGATTATCCAAAGGTGACTATCCTTTGTTTTCTGGTTTATGTTTACTTAGTTTACTTGTTTAGTCAATTGTTTTATAATGAAGACCAGGATGTTATTTCCTGAAAAATCACGGCGTCTGTTCACAAACCCAGTGCCCACTTGGTGATGCTACTTATCACTTGATCCTGTTTCTAACTCTTCCCCCCTCCCCTCCCCCCCCTCCCTTGATGTAAAGTTATTCCGTCGTAGACAAGAGAATATCAACAATTGATATTATCTTGATCGCCGACGGTTACTCCCGAAGTGTACCTGATAGTTTATCTGTACCCATTTATACTACAGAACGGAGAGAAGCGTTGTTAGGGATGAAGTGTCTTGCCCAGGAACACCCCGGCCAATTCTCCAGCCTCGTTGACAGTCAGTGAGTCAGCCAGTGTGTTAGTCTGACCGTCGATCAGGTGAACCGTTTCACCTCAAAAGAAATGGCCAAGTCAATTGATGCCTCTTAAATGACCCATTCTAGCAAAACACGTATTTTTTCAAATCATTCTAAGATTTGTTTGTGAAAATTCTGTCTTCCCTTTTAAGTACGCGACTGGAGAAAACATAATCGGAATGCTCCCTGGCAAACTCGCTGGCTCGCCAAACGACAGGTTGTTTCTGATCGGTGCTCATTACGACACGATGCGAACTACCTTACATGGTAGTGACGATAATGGTTCAGGCGTGGCTGCTATGCTTCAGGTTGCTAAGCAGCTCGCCAAAGGTATGGTTTGTCACGTGATTGTCTACTTGGAATGATGTTTTGAATATTCTGTTTAAAGGTTTTATTTGCGTTTATGGACAAAAAAGTGCGCTCAGGCAACTTGAAGGTAGCTTCGCACACACTCACAAATATGGTAACGAAAAATGATAACCGGATCAGAGATGAACTGAAAGATCATTGTTATCTTCGGCCGAAGATCTTCACACTAAGACAACAAAATAGATGTATCTTACTTTCACTTTATCTATAAGCGTGTACTGATTATTGTTGTGGCACTATCAGTGAAACAGCGAGAGACAGGCAGGTGTGGACTGTTTCCTTTTCTTCTCCGCATCGCCGTCGGTGCAGCAGCGCGTATAATATATAAAGCCGGCTTTTTCACAGGACCTCAGTGGTTCGCAAGAAGGGTCTATTACGCTCTTTACTTTCTGCTTTTCTTTTTTCCAGATTTCTCCAGCTGTACCCGTAGTTTCAGCGTTATCTTCGTTGCATTTGACTTTGAAGAATGGGAATTTGATTGTTCCAACCAAAGCGTCGTACCCGAATGTGCTTGTGGCTCTATCGACTGTGGAAGTCGCGCTTTTGTCGCAAATTTCACCCAATTTTACAACGGGTCCTTAAACTCAAACGGAAAGCTTCAGGGAGCGATTATCATGGATACAATGTTCAATTATAACACTACGCCTCATTCGCAGTTTCTCCCATTTGGAGTAGAACATCTCGCACCAGAAATTTACCATCAGATCAAAGAGGACGAGTTTCGAGGGGATTTCCTTTCCATGATTGGACGACAAGTGGATGATGCAGCGCTTCTGAACTCATTCTGGTATCATTACAGTCAAGTGAAATCTGGTAAGCAGCCATCCGGTCGTCTGCCTCGGCTTTCTTACCTTACCAGATGCTCGCAGTGTAGCAATCTCCCCTACTTAAAATTAAACGAGAATAAAATCATTCGCCTTTTTTAATTGATAAATGACGGATTGATCTTCATCGGTGAATCGCAATTAAACGAACATAAAGAAGAGTTTAAGGCTCAGAATACTACAATTAAATCTGAAGGTGCTTGAATGTAATATCAAATCCTTATGCCTTCTATTTTTATCATTGAGTTTTTTTCATTATTATTATTGTTTGCCCGTAAAAGAAGAAAAATTTAAAATTTAGTCGTGCAATGATATTTTAAGATATGTAAATTTTTCTCTGAATGTTATATTTACTCACATGACGCATTTGACGTTGTAGATCCCTGCAGTAGGCAGGACGAGTGCTACATCGATCTGAAGCTATCACCATAAAGTCTCTGTGGCTCCGGTTGTAGAGTCCGAGAGTCTGGGTTCGATTCCTCACGGGTCTCAAATCTATATCATTTGCCCCACGGTTGTGACGAGAATAGCATCTTTCTCTGGTCTGGATTTCAGGAGTTTGACGATAATCTCCTTAAGCGATCAGAGAACGCGCGATGTACCAAAACGAAATATTATAATAACTCCGGATTTTTCCAAGTTGAAGAAGACTTGCTGTGACGGTTTTTAAAAAATTTATCCGCAATTGATTAATTTCATAATAGAATAGTGTGATTTTCATTTACCTTTTTCGATCCTTCACTTAGCTCTCGGGGACAAAACTGCAATGTATCAAGTAAACCTTCCATTTCAAGGACAGCCATCAAAACTCCCCGATCGGGAATATAACCTGCTTGGGGATTTCTTACGTAGTGATCACGTGTCTTTTTGGGACCATGATCCGTCAATGAGCGCCATCTTCCTCAGTGACACAGCTGACCAAAGAAGCTACATGAAATCGTGTTACCACAAAAACTGTGACAGCCTGAGTCATGTGACGTCTGAAATGCTTCAGTTCCTACAGAAGACCACTGACACAATTCTAGCCACAGTTAATGACGTCACCAAGTTATCGTGCAACGGCACGACCATCACGACTACCACGACTACCACTACAGGTAAGATGGCGGTTGGTGAGAAGAAGATAAGAACACGAAGGAAAACTTTAAGCTGAGTTTTTTACTCTGGGATCTGTAGAAGCCTTTTAGTACTGCTCTCATCGTATTTAATATGTTGTGCAGCATATCTGATTTATGGTTTAGTAGTAGTCGGAATTGGAGGTTCACGCGAGACAAATTTCTTTGAAAGAAAGAGCATAACTAATATATTTCACAAATGTTTATCTTCCCTTAAAATGTTAAGTGACAAAAACGTTGCAGTTCGTCAAATTGGTTGTGGCTTGTTTTTTTTCGCTTTTCCTCTAATCGTAGAGGACCTTAGAAGAAATACCAATAAGTAAAAAGACACCGACCTTGTGAATCTATAAACAACTATCGACTGACGGACAACAATCAAATATCGCTTGACTAATCATAACTTTTTTCTTGTTCATTTTGCAGCTTACGGTATGAAAGGATGGGAGATTGGCCTTTTGGCATTTGGAACGTTTTTGCTTGGCGCGTTAATCGCTGGGGCAGCATTTGTGTTTTACCTTCGCTGGTTCAAGAAAGACGCATCATTTGTCAGCCAAGATCACTTGCAATCAGGCTTCAATACAAACGTCATCTAACCCTTTATCATTGCACAAAGTTCACGAACGTGGCCGTCTCACAGGTTGCTAATGGGGAGTCTTTTGCAGCACTAACTGAAGAAACTGGGCGCTCGTTTTTAATCTTAAAATTTTTTAGCTAAATCGTTTTCTTTATCTTTTAAATATTAAGACAATCCTTTGTCTCCTTGGTTAAGTACTGAATGGTTTTTGCCTTACCTAGTAAATATTTTGTTTCCAGTTGAAAGTGGAAGTTGTTATGTTCATGACAGGGAATGTCTCTCATTACATTGTAACCGAGCCACCCTGGAAGACCCTCGAAGTTATGGCGATTGAGAGATATTAGTGATCTTATACTCATTAGGCAAACTTAAGGATTTAACTCGGTGTGATTCTTTTTAAGCAAGTATTATGCTTAAACAAACTGTCAAGATGACAAAATGTCAAAAATGTTTTTTGTTGATTTTTTAAAGTTCGATTACATTCCACGATCTCATTCTTTTCACAAATAATTTAGAAAGGGGCTCGTTAGAGGCAATACCATATCTCTTACCATTTCAGCGTCTTCAATGCATCATTTAAACCGAAGTAAAGCGATGGTAAACCGATTTTCCTCTCGAATACAAATCTTTTTTTTTTTTTAAATAATTTTAAATTTGAATGCGTTTGTCTATTTATGAAATACTAAGGCTGTTTAAGTGTTAGGAGTTAACTGTAATGAATCAGTGATACGGGTGCGAGGAGCCTCAGTTCAGTTTACAATTTCTTCTTTCCGAACTGACTCACATGGCTTTTAGGGCTTAGTAGGGTTTCTGTACATGAATCATGAAAGCATGAAGATGGGAAATTATTCCATCAAAGGCTGTTTACCTCTCGCTGGTACGTATTTACACTTGGCCCATACGAACGAATTTTATAAAAGAAGAGGAACAAAGTCGATAAAAATTATGACTGACTTATAGTGGGGTAATTTAGCACTATCAACTGAGTTGGTAACTGTCATAAATTATGTAATTTAACTACGTCACAATGCGCGCGACATGTAATTAAAACAACAACAATAAAGGAAGAAGACGTTACGTTTACTCGTCTTATTTTGTCGTTACAACATTAACAGTTGTAACATTGGTGCCGTGACCAGCGCGGACAAGATATAATGAGCGAAGAAGAAATAAAGAAATGGAGATCCATCCGAGGAGCATACAAGGGACACTGCAAATTGGCAGACGTTTCACTCTGACAAAGGGCTAACACTCTTAACGTCAGCGTTGTAACTCTTTACGGTGGCCAATTTACGTTATCAACTAGGTTGACTAAATCACCCTGTTATACTCTCCCACCGACGCAGCACCACAGTTTGTTTAGGAACTTACCCCCTTATTTCATTTCACTGATACTGAGCCTGATATTGCCCTAAAAAATTAAAAAATTAAACCAAAATTCTAACCTATTTTTGCGTGTTTTGAAACACTTCATCCTTAATTAAAGCATGTCCTTCTCTTCTTCTTTTTTTTTTTCCTTTTTTATCATTTCTGTTGCCAAATACTCGCGACCGCGCTCATTGGTGTAAGCGAACTTCTCTTCTTCCTTTTCATCACCCAACCGTATATCTTACAGTAGTCGCTCCTCTCCCACCCCCTCCCCCCACATTCCTATGTGATCCGAGTTTAATCTTAGTTTTGAGTAGTGAAAAAGTGATAAAAAGGAAAAACATCACCCAGAGTGGGCGGAAAAATCGAGCTGTGAAAGGTTCAAGTTATTTTAAATAAAATGGATGTACAGTGGCTGGTTGTCATGACCCTCCGAGTTTGAGTTTGTGAGTGCATTTACACAGGAGCTAGGGTAGATCTTTTTTTGATTTGTCGTTAGTACAAAGAAACCAAGAGTGGGTAGACTGAAAGAATATTTATGAGCTCCTGATGCTACAACTAATCGAGAGGAGGGCCTTTCTCTTGCAAAACTAATTTATTACCTTGCTGATTTTTTTTTTTTGGGGGGGGGGGGTTCTGACGAAAAAACTCACCGGTATTCGGTTTCCATAAAGGCCCAGAACCTCACTCAATTAGTAATTGGGAGATAGTGACCTATGTGATAGCGAGGGAACGACGAAAATATCAAAATGCAAAAATGCCAAATTGGAAGGAAATTAAGTGCTGATTGTAGCCTGTAGGTATAAGCGCGCGTGAGGCACCCATATTTAGTGAAAAGCATTAAATAAATCATCATATTAAATCTTTGTCCCGTACGTCGCGGCCAAGAAGTGACAAACATGATCCCATGTCCTCCCTGTTCAGTGAATCAATGCACCGAGAGCGCCAACTATCTACTCAGCCAGCGGTTTCTCAGTGAGAAAAACAAAATGGCGTCGGCGAGCTTGGAGGAAGAGGACACAGAACTGAACTTTGGAAAGCTTCTAGTGAGGACGTTTAGCTCTAGTACTATACCTGATAGTAAGCGAGATGCTCAATGCAAAGTGGAGAGATTGAATCTGTTGAACATTGCAAATCTTTGCATTAAAAATCTCATCGATTCAGCTCTGAAACTTGGGAAAGTCATCGACGAGTCGTTTGAACCTTTTCAGCAATTTTTTGTAGTGCTCGAAAGCGTTTTACGACATGGCTTAAGGAGTGAGTAGATATCCAAGAATGTTTTTACTCAAAAATTGCCAGTAGTGCGAGAGTGTGAAAGTTGATGACTGAAGCCGGATGGGAAGCTTCTTTTCGTTATCAAAGTGAAACTTAATATTCTAAATCTTAAAACAAAACAAAACGTGAAACCTTTGCTTGTCACATGACTACTAATGCTACAGTCATTTTGAAATCAGTTTTTCCTTCAGGTAGGTTGTTGACTATTTTTCACCGGGGAAAAATATTCTGATTTCTCTTCAATGAAATTTGTGACACAGTTTGGAAAGTCGCCATAGTGGTTGTTTTCATTTACTGTCTTTTTAACTGCAGAGCTTCAAATAAATTATGCATGAAAAATTTGTCCCATTTTTATTTTTAAGATGCATTTTTATGAACCCTACTCGCAGAATTAAACTTGTTCATGGATTATAATGATTGTTTAGGAATTAACCTACTCTAACCTGATAACATAATTATTCAAGTACAGATTAAAATAAGGCAAGAATCTAGATCTTTTGCACCATTGAATTTAGGTAGACGTTTATATTTTTCACCAAAAAAATTTTTAAAAAAATGTTTAAAATTCTTGAACATTTGTTTTATTTTAGCCATTGCTATTAAGTTCATGGTTGAATTTGTGGAATTTATATTTTCATAAACCTGCAACTTATTTTTGGCATGGAGGAGGTAGAAGGCAAGCATGCTCCAGTGGGAAGAGGCTCTTCCCAGAGTTCTCTTTTCTTGTCCATGCCACATTTGCTTATTATGTGTGCAAGCAGATCAACAGTAATTTTAAAAATTATTTGATCACCAAAGCCTACAGTTGTATATTGTATGGTAAATAATGCACTTCAAAGAACAGTATAGCAGTTCTCTTTGCTGCTGTTCCATTGACTGTTATCTAAGTATGCTCTTTCTGTTTTCATTGTTTAAGTGAAACGCAATATTTTGGGTCAAAGGAAGGATTATTGGGGACCATTGGAGGCATTAGAACAAGTTGCCCCAGATTCGTCAGAGATTGTTAAAAGTGTTCAGAATCTTCCAAATATCAGGTACATGTATCAGTGCTGAATGAGGGCATTCTCTATTAATATTGAGGTCCAAGGTATCAAGGTCCAAGCTTAGTGGGTAACAAGTCTTAGAGACAGGTCCTTATGACATACTGCTTTGAGTCTTCTGCTTCTTAAAAAAATGCAAATTTGCCATGTCACAGAGGTGTATCAACTGCTTGCTTACTGTGTCTTAACCCTCAGTTCAAGGATGAAATGTGCATTGCCCTTTCTCAAGAAACCAAGAATAGTTTGAAATGGGCCCAGATATGGCTTTCTTTATTCTATGTATCCACGTAAATTTAAGAGCACAGTACTGGCCCATAGATCCCTTTATCACAGGTCATTTTCTACGGATATTAAATTTTGATAGCCTTTTGCACCAGCATTGGAATAGTTACAGATGAGGATTCAAATTCTTGCAAACTTTGTGATCTTGATGAGGACTATTTAACAAAACCAAACTTTGGAGACTTAATAATAATTATTTGTTTTACTTCTACACTGTATGCTGCAAACAGCAGAGAACTGCACCATTATTGCTTTTACTTTCATTAGTCTGGAGAAGCATAGATCTATAATAAGTATCAAACCTCCTGTTTTGAATGGGTATTTGAAATAAATTTGTTATGTTAATTCCTTCCTTCATGTACTGAACAATCACACCCTGAAATGCAGTGGACATAACTTTGGATATTCATTTTTCTTTAGAACAAATCATGGCAAAGGTCGAGCTTGGGTAAGGTTGGCCTTGATGCAAAAGAAACTTGCAGAATACCTGATGATTCTGGTAGAAAGCAAAGAATTGCTGAGGTAAGTATATTTGATAAATTAAAAGATGGCTGGACATGGTTTACAATACAATTTAAGTTTTGATGGATCAAGTCCTCAACAACCCTTATACAATGCTACACATCAGTCAGTGATTTTTAAAACATTTTCAAGACATGTTGTCATATTCCTTTTTTAAGATGTTGCTATGGCAATAGTATTTCCTATAAAAAATTCCTTTCAAATTCTCCTTTTCTCATTTATGAGTGTAATAAGTGTCTAGCTTTCTATTTCACTGTCAGTACATGTAGATTGCAAAATTAAGTAGGGAAATGCATGGAGGAGATGAATAGATACTTGTACTTAAAGTTTCTTTGGAAATGATTGTAAACCTAGGTATATAAATTTTGCTGGTTATGGACTTTGAAGTTTATTTTTTAATAAATTACAATTAGGTATATTGAGTGGGGGCTTGTTTTCATAGTAAGCTCTATATCTTAAAATGGATTCAGGAAAACTTTAACATGATGGTTGATTATTAATTTAAGGCCAGGGGGTCTGTATAAAATCTGAC